ACGATCCCCGAAAGGGCCCCCACCCCGAACGAAAGCACTTCTCCCACTCATCTTCCTCACAGGGCGGTATCTCGCTGCCCATGTTCAAGTAGAAGAAGCCCTTTGCCCGCTCAGCTTCAGGCAAAAACAGCGCTGCAAACCAGCAGGCCATCCTACCTCCGCCTGACCTCTACCTGCCCACGGAAGAAAATAACTATGCAGGCTTCTGCAAGGGCGCCTGGCGTCTGCAAAACAGCATGAAGAACTCGTTCCGCATCGACAACCGTCCTGTAGGCATGTACATGCTCCAAAGCTCCTGGCACTGCTCCAAGTGCTCCTTTGAAGGAATCGTACAGGAGTCCAAGTTCAGCGGAAAAGCCCCCGTCTTGTCCTCCATGCTCGGCCCAGTCAAAACGTCCATCATCCAGGGCATGCGTGTCCTTCAGATGTTTGACCAGACAGTTCGCCTCCACGGACCGAGCGGAAACAGGTACCGCTGGATCTTCCTAGCCAAATCCCACGTTGAGTGCAGGCCTTCCAAACCGACGGATAAGGTAGTATGTGGGTTCGGGTGTATTTTCTGCAGCGCCCAGAACCATGGACCCGCTCCGATATACGGCAACCTAGACACCTTCATGGAACATCTGCGAGAACATGGGGGGAGAGGGTATGCTTGGGACAGGAAAAAGCCGAGCCAGCCGCTTTTGGACTGGACCAGGTGTATTCTTGGCCGTATCGCTGATGATTCCGAGGATTTCGATATCAATATACCCACCGTAGCCGAAGTAGGGGGGTAGCTCATGTATGAATGACTCTTGGTTAATGGTTTGATGTAGACATGCTTTTTTTGTCCTTTCTTTTTTTTTCTCTCTCTTTATCTCAATACCATTGCAAGCGTTTTCTTTTCTGTTTAGCTGGGATATTCCATTGTTGTCAGTAGCGATTGTATATACAGTGTTAATTGAAGGGGTTTAGCGATACAAGTTATATGTTTATTATTGTATGAAAAAAAAAAACATCAACATTATGTAGATCTTGAATAGTTTAGATGCAGCCTATGCAAGGTAAAAGACAGCAATTAGTGATCGTGGAATAGAGAAAACTAGCAATACCTTCAGGGGAAAGCCATAATCGTAAAAGGGGTGTATCATGAGGGGAACCACCATAGCAAGCTCATTTACATAACAACGCAGCAGCTATTCTGCTTCTTGGCCTGGCCATAAAACATCTTACTCTGCGCACTTAGACCATCACTCTTTGCAACACTAGTGAAGTTAGAAGACCACCCAAGGAGCCAAAGCATAACATGTAGATGGAGGCACTCACAGGCTGTCAATCTTCTCCCCTCTTTCCAGCACGCTCTCAATAGTCTTGTGCAGAACAATCTTGGTTTCATCCAGCTCCTTCTGGATCTTCATGATGCTATCTGCCTGGGTGGGATCCTGGTATTTGACAAGGTATTCCTTCAACTCCGGGAAGTCAAGAGGACCACCTACGTCCTTGCCAATAAAGGATGTGCGAGGGTGCTTGACGAGGAACTCATCGACGATCTTGGAGAGAAGCTGATGAGCTACGAGGGCAGGGTAGTCCGGGTCTGAAATGATGACGCCCGCTACGCCTTCGGACCGGCCGTAGACGTGGAATGTGTACGATTTCTCCTCGATGTCTTGTCTCTGTCCGGGGCGTGTGCGTTCAGCAACTGTCTTACAGAAGAGGGTCATGAATTCGCCGTAGCTATAGATAGGGTGATTCTGTTAGCTGATATGCCAGAGGAATAGGGGGGGGGCGCCGGTCTGTCATTACCTGTCCCTTGTGAAGCGGGAAAAGCTGCTGAGATCCATCTCACGGCATAGTTCGACAGCAGGCCTGTCTTCATTTCGCAAGATCTAGATTTCGTATCGTTAGTACTGCATCGAGCCAGGTTCGTGTGTTCCTACATACTCCGATGTAGAAGAGCTTCATAGTATCGGTGAGTGTTTTCCGAGAGGGCGGATGTTTCGATATGCAGATGTGTGGTGAGTTGGTGCCTCCAGAGGTCTGAAAATGATATTATAAGCCCTTTAATAAGTTTTTATATGCAGTTCAAAACTAGATGCACTCAAGCAAAACCCCGTTGACTGTTGTATATCTCGAAGTTGTTGTTTGTCTTTACAGTTTGAAGCCGTTCAGGCGCCATCAAAAACCCCCGGATTGATTATATAAGCCGCCGCTTTGCTTTGCTGATTAATAAATACTTACGTAAGATAAAGTCCGTGCTTTCGTATTATAGTTGATCCGTTAAACCCGCACGTGACTCTCTATACTGTCAGTGGGTTACATAAGCAAATACTCTACGACTCTTGATTTGAACTCCTTGGATTATACAAGCTACTTACTCTCGCACTCTGCTTTAACCATCCAAGCCTATATACCTAATATTTGGTGGATACTTAGGGTTAGGTCGACATGCTTTCACCTAGTGAAAGGGGGTTAACGACAGACGGGGCTAGTCTCGCTTCCTGTCGACGCCTGGAACGAGGACCCAGCTGAGTCCCATGAGCACGATGAGACCGACTAGTATGGGCTGCAGGACGCTGACGCCTGCCTTTGAAGCGATGGCCCCGGTGATAGCTGGAAACACAGTCCCACCAGCCTGCGCGACCACAAAGATGAGCCCTGTCGTGGTGTTAGTATTCGTTACAATGATACGTGGTGGGATATCCTACCTAGTGCTGCGGTATGGATATTCGATGGTATCAGCTTGGATGCAACGGACATTCCCTGCAATGGTTAGTTATCCTATATACAATATATGTAGAAGGGGCAGTGGGAAGACATACGGATGCGAAGAAAGGCCCGGACAAGAAGCCAAAGACGCTGACGACCACGCTGTCAGCGACGATGTTGTTGACACGCCAGAAGACGACCTGCAGGGCGAGGCAGCAGAGCGAGCAGACCAATATCACTGGCTTCTCGCCTAATCGGTGGGCCGGTTCAGCCAGGAGGAGACGGCCGAGCATGATGCCACCAAAGTAGCCTGTAGGCACATATCCCACACGCGAGAGCTCTCCCTGCCGTTCTTGGACGAGATATTCCACCAGCCAGCCTGTTCATTATCATTATTAGCCTCTTCTTCTTGCTGTAAGATAGAGGTACGTACCTCCAACGGTGATGGCAACGCCGAGATAGAAAAAGTAGAACAGGCTGAGCAGCCAGACGGGTCTACACTGCAGCGTGAGCTTCATCTCCGTCCACACTCTTCCTTCCCTCCTCTCTTCAAGAGCAGCAGCAGTAGAAGCAACATCAGCGGTAGAAGCAGGAGTATTGGTAGTCCATGATATCGAGACGCAGACGTGCTCTCTAAACGCCCACCAGGCCAGCGCCAGGTTGACCAGGCCGAGCCCACCGGGGACGAGATAGAAGTACATCCATTGACCGGTATGAGTGGCCACGAGGGATGCCAGCAGCGGTCCAACGAGACACCCGGCACTGTAGCTAGCATGTATCAGTCCCAGCCAGCGATGGGCGCCCTCCAGCCCGGCCACGAAGACGTTTGCCTGCGCGTCCTGGTATCCCTGGCCCAGCGCCGCGAAGACGAAGGCGACTGCGAACAGCGCAAATGGCGGCGTCTATCTTGTTAGTATATATACGTTATGCATATATAAGTGGTAGTTACATGGAGAGATGCCTACCCAGAACCTGAGGAGGTGAGCAGCGAGCTGAGCAGCGGCACCGGCGACGAGGGCTCCTCCCAGGCCGGTGGCAGAGCGCATCCAACTCCCCGTGAGAGCGGCGAGGAGCCATCCGATGAAGGAGAGCCCCCAGATGAGGCCGATGGACGACGGGGTGAGGCCGTAGGAGCGCAGCAGGTAAGGGACGAGGGCGCCCAAGCTGCCGTCGTTGACGCCCGCGACGAGAAAGCAAAAGGCCGCTGCCAGGACTCTGACGGTCTTTTTCTCTTCTGTTCCTACTTGTCTGCGAACACGAGCTTGGGTCTCTTGGGAGAGCTCAATGTCTTCGTGGGTATCCATGTTGCCTTTACTGTTTGTGTTGAGACGAAATACGAACTGCATCCAAAGTCATGGTCATAAAAGTCATGGTCATAAAAGTCACGGTCATAAGAGAGATCATCAAATTCATGCTAATATGAGACTAAATGCATTTATCCTGTTTAGAGGAAGAGAGAAGCGCCTGAGATGCCCGAAGTGCTGTAGATTTAACCAGAGAGTGCTTGAAATGACCGTCCATGCAGTGGTGCTCCGTCTGTCACGCCAAACTCCGTAGAAGAAGAAGAAGAAGAAGAGAATCGTTATGAAAGAGTATTAAGAGTTCAGCAGCACCTCTTCCGCGGGGTGGTGAGGATGAGTCCTCCGTCCGCCTCCTGCTCTGCATCTTCGTCTGCGTCCCCGACGAGGGCGGGAGGGAAGCTGAGCCAGCTGCGACGCTTGTCCGCGTCGCCAGAGGTCCGTCCCGCCCGCGACCTGGCCCTCATGCTGCTGCCGGAGGAAGAAGCCTGGTGGACTGCATCAGCCGCCCGCTCCCGCCGGCTGCGCTGCTCGACCAGCTTGCGAGTGATGACACGGAAGACCTCGTCGATGCCCTCGCCGTCCTTGCTGCTGATCTCGTGGCAGCAGTCCCATCCGATGTCCTGGGCCCAGAAACCGCTGTTCCTCTGGCTGTCCGGCGCCATCACACTATTGCTGTAGTTGTTGCCGTTGCTATTGTTGTTGTTGTTGTTGTTGCTGCTGCTGTTGTTATGATAGGCGCTCCCGATACCTGAGCTGGGGGGCGGAGTCGACGCCTGGGAGGGATAGAGCTGCTCGGCAACGTAGGCTATGGTACGTTCAAAGGGGACCCGACGACGGGCCGGGTCGTCCGCCACGATATCTGACTTTGTACCGACGACGTGGATGACGAGCGGCCAGCGGTCCTGCCCGTCGCCGCCGTCACCGGGAAAGAGGTTCTGCTTGAGCTCGAGCAGCCAGCCGCGCATCTCGTCGAAGCTGCGCTCGTCCGTGATGTCGTAGCAGAGCAGGCCGGCGTGGGCTCCGCGGTAGTAGAGACGAGATATGCTGCGGAACCGCTCCTGGCCGGCGGTGTCCCATATCTGCAGACGGACGACGGTGTCTGAGGTCGAGTCCAGGACGCGCTTGGTGACGAAGGAGGCGCCCACCGTCGACGCCGGCGCCGCGCTGCTGAACGAGTTTCTCACGTACCGCTGCACCAGCGACGTCTTTCCCACTCCTACCGCGCCGTCAGCACATACATACATACATACGCATACAGAGGGAGGGAGGGAGACCTACCTTGCGCCCCGAGGACGACTATCTTGGCTTCCAGGCTGTTGCTCATGTCTACATCGTATGTGTTGACGGGTTTCTTCGCGACGGCGACGAGAAGTTTCTCCATGCACGAGAGCCCCTTGATGAAACATCGCTTCCCTGCAGGCTTGATCCTGGTTCTCATCGTCGGCTTACATGCTGGGGCGGCACGACAGATCTATATCTACAATGCTACTGCGTACGTCGTACTGCTGTCTACCTGCTGGCCACCCTGGTAATATACATGTAATAATAACCCATCCCTGGGGGTTGCGGATCGAAGCAAGAAGATGAAACGGCGGCTGTTCTCCGTCGGCCGCACTCCGGCTTCCCTTATATCTTTCTGCCCATCTGGATGCATAGACGGGAGCATCCAGAGGTCGACGGAGCCTTCATGCATCTAGATCCGTGTTCTTTTTCCTTCTGTCTGGACGTCTTGCCGTCTGCTCTTTGTATCTCTTTAGCTGTTGACTGTGAGTTGTAAGAAACTTCCACGAGCAAGCAAGAAAGCCGAGGATGAAGAAGAAGAACAATCGCGCAGAGTGGATGATTGAGCTTCTCTAGTTCTTCTTCTTTGCCATCATCGCAGTCGTCTTCTTCTTCTTCTTCCCCGAAGCGCCTCTCGTGCGAGACGGCCATGTCTTCTTATAAAAAGCTGTCTTGTTCATGCCGTCTCCCTAACTGACCGGTAGATAGCCACGGTACACCACGGTACACCACGATATACACGATATACACGATATACGACCATTTGCAATTGGCCATAGAAGACAGAAGACGGACAGAGAGTGAGAGAGAGAGAGACGGAAAAGAGAGAAGAGATGGGCAAGCTTACCGGCGAAGAGATAGCAAAGCACAGCTCGCCGTCGTCCTGCTGGGTCGTCGTCCATGGCCACGCATACGACGTGACGGACTTTCTCCCCGGTAGGCCGTTTCCCCCTTATTGCATAAGAGGTGATGGATGTATTGGAGGCTGACTGGAGAAGAACACCCCGGGGGCCAGCAGATCATCCTCAAGCACGCCGGTAAAGATGCCACGGCCGAGTTCGACCCTGTTCACCCGCCAGACACGCTGGACAAGTATCTCGACCGCTCCAAGCACCTTGGCCCCGTCGACATGGCCTCCATGGCGCAGGAGAAGAAGGCTGTCGACCCGGAGGAGGAGCAGCGTCTCGAGCGGATCAGGAGGATGCCCTCACTCGACCAGTGCTACAACCTGATGGACTTTGAGGCCGTCGCCAGCAGGGTCATGAAGAAGACCGCATGGGGCTACTACTCCAGCGGCACAGAAGACGAGATGGTACGTACCTATTCCCTATACAAGTATATGTGTATGTACTAATTGTGCAGACAATGAGGGAAAACCATACGGCATTCCATAAGATCTGGTTCCGGCCGCGCATCCTCGTGGACGTCGAGCAGGTCTCCATCTCGACGACGATGCTGGGAACCCCCGTCTCCGTCCCCTTCTACGTCACGGCCACGGCCCTGGGCAAGCTGGGCCATCCGGACGGCGAGGTCTGTCTCACGCGTGCCTCGGCCACCCACGACGTCATCCAGATGATTCCCACCCTGGCATCTTGCTCCTTCGACCAGATAGTCGATGCAAAGACCCCCCGCCAGACACAGTGGCTGCAGCTCTACGTCAACAAGGACAGGGACATCACCCGCCGCATCGTCGAGCATGCCGAGGCCCGTGGATGCAAGGGGCTCTTCATCACCGTGGACGCTCCCCAGCTCGGCCGTCGGGAGAAGGACATGCGCTCCAAGTTCGCCGAGCAAGGCTCAAACGTCCAGGCCAGCACCTCGGGCACCGTCGACCGCTCTCAGGGCGCTGCACGCGCCATATCCTCGTTCATCGACCCCAGCCTGTCCTGGAAGGACCTCCCCTACTTCCGCTCGCTCACCTCCATGCCCATTGCCCTCAAGGGTGTCCAGCGCGTGGACGACGTCCTGCGTGCCGTCGAGGCGGGCATCGACGCCGTCGTCCTCTCCAACCACGGCGGCAGGCAGCTAGAGTACGCGCCCTCCGCCATCGAGCTGCTTGCTGAGGTCATGCCGGCCCTGCGTGCCCGAGGCTGGGAGCGTAAGATTGAAGTCTACATCGACGGCGGCATCAGGCGAGCCTCGGACATCATCAAGGCCGTCTGTCTGGGCGCAAAGGGCGTGGGCATCGGACGGCCGTTCCTCTATGCCATGAGTGCGTACGGGACGGAGGGCGTCGAGAAGGCAATGCAGCTGCTCAAAGACGAGATGGAGATGAACATGCGTCTGCTTGGATGTACCAGCATCGACCAGCTCGGCCCAGACTTGCTTGATACCAGAGGGCTGTCTGTACACTCTGTCTCGGGCCCTGTTGACCATCTTTCCCGCAGTGTCTATGAGCCGTTGACCCTTCCCAGGGAGAGACCCATTTCAAACTCGAAGCTATAATAATAATAATACCCTTTTTCTTTTGCTTTTGTTCTCGTCTGTTCCTCTTTTTTTTTTTTTTTTTTTTTTGTATATACATGGTAGATATATCCCTGGAACATGGTTGTATGCTGTGATGATGCTGTGATGAATGTATAGATGTATAAAATTACAAGTCTACTATTATCGGCCCAGCCACGATCCTCTGTCCCCTGACATCCATGCAGGCCGGGTTGACCATCCACCCTTCCCTGCCCAACGGCCGTTCTCCTCCCCAGATTCTGGTCCAGATAACTCCCACCACGGCCCCAAACACCACTCGAACTGCATCCCTCCACGCCCAGCACACGCTCACCAGGTCCCTGACCACCGACCACCGTCGAAACAGCCACCACGCCCACCCTCGCTCCCCGCGAGACCACAGCCAGCCTCCTTCCCGCCGTCGATGGCACAGCATCTCCCACGCCCGCTGTGCATCGTCATAGTACACCCTCTCCACCCCTCGGCCGCCGTGGGTGTGTCCGAAGACATACAGCGCCGGCCTCACCCGCCACGCAGCCTCGAGCAGGTGTGCACACCCGATGCTGTTCGGAAACAGGTCCCCGTGGTGCAACGGCGGGCTGTGAGACACCAGTATATCTGTCTCTGCCGGCGGGGCCGTCGGCCACGGCAGTCCAACTTGGTATGGCGGGTACTGGAACGCGTGTATCGTAACGTGCGGCTCCAGCTGCGGCACCTGTGGTATCCCATGGACCGTAAGGTGGCGAGTCACCGATGGACTCGAGCCAGACGGTCCAAATGTCAATGTCACAGAGGAGTTCTGCAGATAATGTATCTGTCCCCAGTTGATTGTTGTCGTCAAGTCTACGTTCCCGTTGGCGGCTGCTATCTTTCCCCGAACGCCCTCGTCCAGCCATCCGTCATGGTTCCCGGCCACGACTACCTTGTGTCGATGTGGCAGCGAGTTCAACCAGTCTGCAGCCTCCTGTATCTGGGCCGGAGTCCCCAGATCAGTCAGATCACCGGCGTGGATAAGCAGGTCACCGTCTGGTATCTCCCCCAATGAACGGTGCTGCGAGTGCGTGTCCGACAGGCAGACGACTCGGACGACCGGCTGCGAGGCCGAACGAGTGTACGGCGGCGCGCGCAGGGCAGACAGAAGCCCGTAGACCGGCCGTAGCACGCAGATGAGTGGTGATGCCAGCAGCTGAGTCCCTAGCGATGGCGGGTCCCACGGCGGCATCCTGACCTTTGGGACGCTGGCTGGGAAATTTTGTATAGAGTTGTCGACTATCTCACTCGCCAGGCAGCGTCATCTTAACGTCTGTCCTGTATTTCTGTCTTGTAGATATTGCTGTTCGTAGTGTGGTATGTTGCTTGTAGTTGTTTGAGTGTAAAACGAAGGAAAAAAGTGTCGATGTTGTCGCTTTTGCCTTTTTGGGCCAACTTTTCAACTTCAACTTTCGACTTCAACTTCAACGACAAACTACAAACTACACCAACCTCTACGGCTTCACCATCCGCATCTACCGACCGTTCTCTCGCTGCTCTCTGTCGTCTGTTTTCCTGGCTTTCCTTGCCAGCGTGATCTGCGCCTCCACCAGCCTCTCTATATATAAATAACCCCCCACCAGCGCTTAATATTCAACTTTCTACAGCAACATCTGCCATCTCCTCAGCTTCACCGGCTTCATCTCCAGTCGTCTGCTTCCTGATGCTCTCTCTAGCGCCGAGAATTCCGGCCTGCGTGTAGAATTGGCCTGTCGAAAGCCTTCTCCATAGTCCCGCCTCTGCCCTCCACAGCCACAACCCATTGGGCACTTCGCCTGGGCAACCCTCCTCATTCTTCCTCCCCCCCTCGAACATTTCGACGCCTGCGCCCGACGATGAATGGCGGTGACCTGAAGAAGGCTGCTATCGCTGCCGCAAACGGTGCTGTGGGAAAGAAACGCAGGAAGGCCTCTGATCTCAAACCCATCATCACCAACGAAGAGTCTGATCCCGCCGCCACTACCATGCCCAGCTCCCAGTCTGCGTATTTTCATCCTTCATCTTTACACATTTTCTACTCCGGCTAACGTTTTGACAGACAAAAATACTCGTATAGCTCGCCCCTGTCGCGGGCTTCCTCATCCTCATCAGAAGGTGACGTCGATGCCGCGGATGAGGAAGACTCGGAGGACTACTGCAAGGGTGGTTACCACCCCGTCTCCGTGGGCGAGTCCTACAATAACGGCCGGTATATCGTCGTCCGCAAGCTCGGCTGGGGCCACTTCTCGACCGTCTGGCTGTCCCGCGACACCACGACGGGGAAACATGTCGCTCTCAAGGTTGTCCGCTCAGCCGCTCACTACACCGAGACTGCCATAGATGAGATCAAGCTGCTCAACCGCATAAACAATGCCAACCCCAATCACCCTGGCCGGAGACATGTTGTCAGCCTGCTCGACTCGTTCGAGCACCGTGGCCCTAACGGAGTACATGTTTGCATGGTGTTTGAGGTCCTGGGCGAGAATCTGCTTGGTCTCATCAAGCGCTGGAATCACAGAGGCATCCCCATGCCGCTTGTCAAACAAATAACCAAGCAGGTCCTGCTCGGACTAGACTACCTACACCGCGAATGCGGCATTATTCATACCGACCTCAAACCTGAAAACGTTCTCATCGAAGTGGGGGATGTCGAACAGATCGTCAAGTCCTGTGTCAAGGATGAAGAGAAGAAGAACGACAGCAGAGACGATAATCGAAACGGTCGACGAAGACGGAGGACTCTGATCACAGGCAGCCAGCCGCTCCCCAGCCCGCTCAGTGCCAGCTTTAGCGGTGGAGATCCTTTCCGCAACGTTCCTCCATCCATGCAGAGCTCACATAGCAGTCTCAACCAGGTTCTTGCTGAATCACCTCGTACGTTCGATTTTGCATCCGCTTTTTCCTTCTTGAGCTAACGCCTTCGCAGTCTCTGCTACTCCTACCACCCCAGCACACCAATCCATGAGAGATAAACTAGGTATAAAAGAACTGGATGCAGCCGCCGACGAAAAACAAAAACAAAGAGAAAAAACAACGTAAGTTGGAATGTCACTGTCATACCAACCACCACTTCCATCTACTGACTCGAATAGCGACCTCCTTGAACGCGAAGTCTCGGGCATATCCCTTAATAAAGACACAAACCAGGCCGCAGCAGACGACCAGTATAATATTGATATCATATCTGTTAAGATAGCTGATCTTGGCAACGCCTGCTGGGTCGGACACCACTTTACCAACGACATCCAGACCAGACAATACCGCTCGCCGGAAGTTATCCTGGGTGGTAAATGGGGCGCCAGTACTGACATTTGGAGCATGGCTGCAATGGTAACCAGCCTTCTAACTCTGCCATTTAAACTTACAGCTACTAACGTTAATAGTCATTCGAACTTATCACTGGGGACTATCTCTTTGACCCCCAGACTGGCACCAAATACGGCAAAGACGACGACCATATTGCTCAGATCATCGAACTGCTAGGTCCTTTTCCGAAATCTCTCTGTCTGTCCGGAAAATGGAGTCAAGAAATCTTCAACCGGAAGGGAGAGCTCCGCAATATTCACAGACTACGCCATTGGGCATTACCAGACGTCCTTCGAGAGAAATATCACTTCTCTGAAGAAGAGAGTAAGGCCGTGTCTGATTTTTTGATACCTATGCTTGAACTCCTACCTGAACGTAGGGCAAATGCAGGTGGAATGGCCAGTCATAAGTATCTCGACGGTACCAAGGGGATGGATCACATTTCCCTGAATATCCCCGTAGGCAGCAGGGGAGAGGGGATTGAGGGCTGGGCGTGCGAGGTTAAGAGGAGGTGAAGCTTCAATATGTCACCATCAAAAACAATTACATGGCGTTTTTACCTTGGTTGTTCCCCCTCCGCCCTCGACCTTAGCTCTCCGTCCTGCTCCTGCGTTATTGTTGGCTTATTATGTTGCTCGGCCCCCGAACTCCTGACTTGCCGAATGAGATGCTGGTGGTACTCGGATAGGATGAGTGGAAAAGGGATGAACTAACTACAATGATTTATTGGATCATCGTGGCTAGATAGAGTTGTCGTGCTAGTGTTTTGCCGTGTCTTGCCTTGCAGTGCTGAGGGTGTTGTTGGTTCTCGTTATACTTATTATGCTGTATTTAAGGTGGGTGATATATTGTCTGATATGATGGGTGCTGATAACGAATGCTGTGGCTCGGGGGGAGGGTGGATTGGGATATAGGTCATCTCACGCTCACTCGACCTACAGACTTAAACAAACGCATTCTTTCCTCTAAAAAATAGGTGAAGGACGTATGATTGGACGAATTTCATTGCATACATATGGCAGTTTATATATCTTTTCTTCATCGTCGTCCGTATTTATAGAGGAGGGTTAATGAAGCAGTATATCCAGCGTAATTCCACCTCCAGCCGACATAGCCAGGAGACAGAAATATTACTCGTCCATCTGCCATGCATATTCCATGTTTTCCATCCTGCCCCGTCGATTCCGTGCCTCGAACCATTTATGTTCAAACCCGTTACTCCTGTCGACTCCATCCCACCTGAAGCCCGGCCAAATTCCATATCGATTCGGCGGAGATGGCCCCTTATATACCTTCCCTCCGCCGGCGCCAGCACTAGCACTAGAACCGGCACCAGCACTCTTCGGCTCGGATAAGAACGCGGCTGCAGGATCATTCCACCTCTGTCTCGACTTCAGCTCGGTATTCAGATCCTCGTCCTCCGCCGTTCGCGCAAGCGGTATAAACTTCGCTTCCTCCAACGCCAGACGGCGAGCCTCCTTCTCCTTCCTCTGCACATCACCCGTCAACGCCTCTTTGGCAGCCCGTTCGGCAGCGGCGGCCTCCTCCGCTGCCTTGCGCGCTTCGGCCCTCTTCATAGCAACGTTTATTATCCGGCCAGACGCATCTCGATAGATCGTTTCCGACTCCAAGCCAACTTCCTGCTTGCCTTTCTTCTTTCTGTCCTTTCGTAATTTCTCGGCTTCCTGCGCCTGCTGTCGTTCCTGTGCAGCTACCATGGCCGCAGTATCAGCAGCCGTCTGCAGACCGGCTCTCATTCCAGACTCCATTCGTGGTGTAGAGTCGTCTTCATCAGCTATCGTGGGCCTATCATCATCAGGCTCCATCTCTGCTGTCCGCTCCGCAGCTGCAGATGCTAATATCGCGTCTGCTGCGATCTGCTCATCATTTGTAGGAGGCTGTGGTCCAGACACAGAGCGCCATTGCGAGGACTTGGATTTTCGAAACTCGCTGCTTGTCCCTCCCCGTGCTGCGTATGACAATTCATCGTCTTCGTCTGAATCATTTCTACCTGGCCGTCTGGATCTCGACGTCTGGGCCGAGCTGGACAGTAACGGAGGGTCGTCATCTGCGATTATCAGTCCTCCGCCGCTGGCAGCCTCGGCCTCGGCATGTTTGTTCTTCTTGCGCTTCTTCTTCGGCCGCTCCGAGGATAGCGTGTCTGCTGTTAGGTAGTTCTTCGCCAGGTAGTCAGCTAGAGACATTGTGCTTGGATGTGATGTTGAGCTTGTGATGAAGTCACAATCGAATCCTTTTTTTAGTTATTCATGAAGAGCGCCAGTTCTCAGCTTAGTCAGCATGTTCTTCTAGCAAAAGACAAAGGGGGCAGAAGTCATACAACAGCTTCTGCCTCATGGTAAGGGAGGATGTGGTGTGGCTTCTCTGCTTAAGGCAGATACTAGGCTTTTAGGCCTAGTGTAGGAACTGTTTCTACCCCCAAAGGATAGGGCTAGTAGGGACAGCGGTTATTACAGTGTGCTGTTGCTCAGCTACGAGACTCTCTCAAATACAAGTACGCATTTCTAAGTAGGAGTGGTTTTCAATATACCTTGATAGAAACTAAGCTGCTGGAAGATAACTAGTCAAAGGGGGAAACACGATAGAGGGGAAGTCCGGTTTGTTTGGGTAGCTGGTTATGTTAGACATTTAACCCCTAACGGAGAGGCAGATAAGTGGTATCAGAAGATCCCCTGCGAGCAAAGGGTGAAGATGGCAGAACGGTCCAGGGACAAAAGAGTGTATATTGCTCCGGATATCCTTTACTCGGGCCGCGCTTCAACCTCGGTAGTCAAGCTATATAGAGGGCTTAGGTCGGATCCAACCAATGCGAGTCAAGTTTGCATATCAGGAAGCATGGCCAAGGGCAGTATTCTCTAAGGCCTGCTGGCTAATTTTGGATGGTAGGAAGTTGGGGGAAAACTGGAAGGTAATATCTGTAGGGAGGTTAGCTGCCATTAACCCCTTGCCTGTAGGCTCTAGGTCAAGCTGGGATCAACCGGCAGGTCAGAGTCCTCCTGCTCGCCGATAATTTCCGATGGAATAGTAATTGGAATCTGCAGTCGGCGAGCTACCTCTTGGATGACCTTGACACGATGGTCGAGTGTAGCAGCACCGCCGGCAAGTTCAGAGAGATCATCGGCAGAGACAGACTCATCCACCAAGGACGAGATTGCGGGCGCCAACAGCTCTAGGTTCGCTCGAGAGAAATGATAGTTGACGATTGCATTTGTGACCAACTCTGATCTCACCGACATTGCAGTTTCAACTTGGCTCATCTGAGACCGCAAACCCTCCAGCTGCGATTGGGACCGTTTCAAGCTGGCCTTTAGCCTGTCGACTTCATATTCAAGCTCAACCACGCGTTCGCTCTCCTTTGTATCGTGGATCAGAACCACTTTGCACGGCCGCTCAGCTTTGGCGGGGCTCTTTTCCACTTCCTCGCATTCATCATCACCATCATCTGCTTCTTCACTTACGGTCTGGACGAGCATAGACTTCATTGGCCTTCCACAGCTCTGGTGTGTGAGATAATGAGGTTGTGCCGGACGAACCTGCGTCCCGATATTCCACGAGATGCGACATCTCTTGAGCTTTCCATCTGTGTTGAAATCTGCTGGCCAGTATAGCCCCAGGAGCTCTTTTGCCATATTTCCTTTGGCGCCCCATCTGGATAATGCCATGGCCTGAGCATCGCAGAGCATCCGGTAGTATGGCGGGAGGTTTGAAGAGGAAAGCAAGTGCTCTTCTATGACTTGTTGGAATGGCGGGAAATAGTCAAAGTCGAGTGTTGAGATACCATCCATCCATTCTACTCCTCCACGGCTGCTGATGACATTTGGCAGAGCAAACCTCGGCAGCTTGGTCGCTCGACTCCTTTTTTGTGCCATATTCACTGTTTCAAGATCAGCCTGACTGATAGAGGAGGGTATCAAGGAGAGACGTTAGAGAAGTAGATGGATATCATGAGAGAAAGCAGCGAGAGAGACGGAATGAAAGCATCTAGAGCAATAGCTAGACGCATGCAAGACTGATAACTTGACAAGTTATCGTGGTAGTAGGCGTTCAAGGTGAAGTGACAGCTGGGTGAAAAAAAAACTGAGAGGAGTTCTGTAAAAGGAGGCGTTATCTGCTATGAGAAGTGACAAATCTCTTGCTTGAAGCTGGAGGTTGAAGAAGCTTGAATATTGAGGTTGAGGTTGAAGCAAGAAAAGTATTTAACCTTGAGTCATTCTCGTATTCAATCGCTCTTCGCCAGTTAAAACAACTAACATCTTCTGCATCTATAGAAGTATCCCAAACACTGCCAGCCACTCCAACCATGGCTCGTACAGACGAAGCGGAGTGGTGGTTTAATGCAGTGTACGAGGCCATCCAGCAGATCCCCTACGGCAAAGTGACGTCCTATGGGCATATCGCTCGTCTACTGGGATGCCGTAAGTCGAGATGCTTGCCTCGTCAACAGGATGTTTGCGTTCTGACAAGGAATAAATACGTACAGCTCAGCGGTCTCGACAGGTTGGCATCTGTCTCAAACACCTTCCATCGAGCCCGGATGAGTTTTATAATAACGACAATGTACCGTGGCAGCGGGTTATCAATTCGAAGGGGATGATTTCCCATCGGTATGCAGGCTGCTTCTTCCTTCCTACCATCATAGAACTGGTGATGATGTACAGTTATTGGACCGCTCAAGGTTAACAATACTTGGTTTCACGTTACAAGAGGCCCCGGTTCGGCTGCTAGGCAGGCGGCAGCTCTCGAGCAAGAAGGCGTCTCCGTCCGCTCTGACGGCATGAACGAGTTCTACGTCGATATGGCGCAATTCGGATGGTTCCCGGATCGGCTACCCAATGAAGACGATGAGGACGGAGACCTGGACGCTGATGGTCTTGGGAACAGGGGTTAGAACGGGAGGATGCATAGTACTGTACTTGGGAGATGGCCTTTGGAGAATTTAGGTTGATATAATAAAATAAACCAGTTATCTACTTCATACGTAACTGACCAAGCTGTGCCATGAGTTGATGGGTTGGAAGCAGGTAGGAACAACTCCCGAAGCTCCCCGCATTAATCATGCTCACTATGCATGCAAGCTGTACAACCCTGGGAGAAGAGGGGGGAAAGGGACGAGTGCTTGATTGTAGCCTGGTGCGTGAACAGGAAGAGCTGATTCGTGATTGTCTTTTCCGATGGAATACCCTGGGCGTAGAGCGAAGATGACGAGTTGGTAGGCATGGTCAAACCGCCAATGCCGATTGATGTCAACGAGGCCAATTGCAACGAGTCATCTCAGGAGCGGAGGAGTCCATGGCCCGACTGTGCCGCCATCATCAAATGATAAGCATGGAGAGGAGGTTGTGGGCGGACAGGGGCGTCTGAGATGAGTCTTTGGGCGCGAGGCTGCCTACATATGGCCGTGGCCTAGGCCTCCCAAGGTGGTTCATATATGCGGGAGCGTGTGGGGAAGGGGGAGGAGTCCGGCGCAGCCAACATGATCCGTTATCAGCGTAGGTCTTGACTCATCGACAAGCCATCCTCTCGTTTCTCTTTCTTTTTTCTCCTCCTTTTCTTTTCCCGACTTCCTCCAGCCTTCCTTATCTTTGAGATACGCTGACATAATATGTAATCACGTAACGTCCGTACCAAAAATACACTCGAGGCAGCCACCACGTGACATGCGTAGCCTGCTGTGTCGTCATCGTCGTGGTTTCGCCGTTACCAGGGGCAGTGAGGGTGCTGGTGGATGATTCACCTTGTGACTCCGCCGTCGTTGGTGAGCTGGGGTTATTTTTATATAAAGGCATCGACCCTGAGAGGGGAGGGCCCGGTTTGACAGTTGACCTTCATCCTCATCCACCAGACCTATCTTCTCTATTCTCTGAAAGCTGTTGTCAAGATCCAGATCCTTTCCTTTGACTCCGTCGCTCTGTTAGTAGAATCCTTTATATCGAGTGAGCCTCGGCCGACCACCTTTGCCTTCCCGGCAAGAGGTATCACCATCTCTATCCGCTCAGTTTCGTTCTTTCTATTCCTTTTCATCTAGAGAGAGTAGCAACCACACTACGAGTGGCCATGACTCGCAACTCCCACGTCGCCGGGCGTACCAGAGAGACCCGGAAGAGTTCCGTAGCCACCAAGACCTCCACCAAGCCGAAGAATATCAACCCTTCACAGTTCGTGCCTGATACTCGCCCCATGAGAGGGCAGAAAGAGGTCAAGGTCTGCCGTCCCCGTCCGAGAGCGCTCCTCGAATACTCCGGGTATGTCACTTCCCCTCTTCTGCCGTGGGCCTGTTCTGTTCGTGGGTTCCAGCTAACGAAGACATCGCTATCCAGGGCTGCCGGCTCAAACTCCAAGCTCCCAGTCAAAGTGTCAATCCAACATGCGATCGACCAGGCGGTAAGGGAGACCCGTGGAGCCGACTCTTCGTCCGACGAGGAGGAGTTCGACCCACCCGCCACTCCCGGGGAGCCAGACCTGTTCTACTCCTTTGACGCGTATGCCAGCCCTGCACAGGGAGGCGATGTCCTCAGCGCAGCGGTCGTTCTAGCTATCGACAAGTTCGAGACCAAACAGACCGAGAAACTTGCACGGGAGTATGAGTTCATCGGCCTGGTCGACCCCGACGACCTCAACGAGGGGTATGGCGGCCACGACGACGGGTTCGAGCTCATCGAGGCTGTGAACTATTAGCTCTCGTCTCTCCCTTTCTCCGCTGTTGTACGTTTCTGTAATGTTATATTTTGTTGATTTTCGCAGCAGTTGATCTAATGGTCGATCGAATTATGTTGCTTCACCTTGACGGCGTTTATCCTGTTTTCTTGGTTAATGAGAACTGCTAGAGAAGAACGGTTTAATGAGACAGAGGGATCTCTGTCTGTCTTTTGTTTTCCTGTCCTTTTTCTGTTTTCATCCCTCCTGGTCAAGCATCATGAGAGGAACTTTTGGGAAGACACAGGCGTTTCTTGATGACATGACTTGTACCAGTATACCCAGCATTTGCATTGTGTCTGTTTCCTCACCCAAGTCACTCGTTTATAACTTCTAGCCGGACAAATAACATCATCATCATCATGTCGAAGTCTTGTCGTGTTGAAGTCTTCTTTTCATCCCACTAAAACAACACAAAAAGCCTTCTGTGGGCTTACATAATCCATTACATAATCATTACCTAAGTAGCGGTACAGGCTAAGCCCGAAAAGGAACTTACAACCACCTGCGAGCTCTGATTGGCTACATGGCCCGCGGCAGCCCAAAAGGGAAAAAGGGAACAGGAAGTTTGATATCTCACTTTTGCGAACAAACTCTTGCCCTTCTTTTTCCCACCGACGAGCCATCCAAAACCCGTCCTCTAGATGCCCGGCGCTGGCTCCTTGGAGGCTGCCGCTTCACTATCGACCCTTGTTCGTGTCCGACACTCGTCTTCGGCATGCAGCCCGATGCGCAGAAACGGCGATCTCGTTCCGGTTGCACTGAGTGTCGCCAACGGCATCGCAAGTGTGACGAGAAGAAGCCTGCATGCACAGGGTGCGAGCGCGCAGGAAAGCAATGTACCTACATCATGCGCCTCTCCTGGGGGGGCCGGCCCTTTTCCAAGTCCCGGTTTGGCGAATGCATGAAGAGCGATCCCAGTCTCGTCCAGCTGCCGGTAGTCTCTTCCTCAGGTAAGTCATCCGCCCACAAAGTTGATACGTACGGAGTATATGCACTCTTCAGTCTGATCCGTAGCCTGAGGCGGATACCTATTCCATGTTTTTGTCTGCTCTTGTTCCGCCCTATATTACACGTTAATGAGGCTAAAATTCATCTCTCTTTCTCCGGGGCATGATGTAGGGAATCCGGCGTTTATTTATGGGTCTAAAGCGGGAGAGCGTTCGTTAGGCTCTGTGGATGCCATGGTGGAACAGTCGCAGGGGCAGATTTCACAACGTATGCCCCACTCTATATCTCGCGGGCATTGAAGCTCCGGGAGAATCCTGGCATAATATCGGGGTGATTAATAATTTTGTTGCGTCCCTGGTGTATAGTAGATATCAATAACGGGAAGGACGCTTCGCTGGTATCTCCGCCGCTTTCATCGACCTCGGAGGACCCCCTGGAGTTCGAGAGCCGGCTGGTCAGATACAGCCCGCCTACTCCTGATGCTGTCCGGTCCAACCCGTTCGAGTTCAGCTGGCTGCCAAAACAGCAGCGGAAGTTACTCGACCATTTTATATCGTGTACAACTCTATCGATGTCGTGTCATTCGCCAATCCAGGATATGTTCTGCCGGGTTCTCGTACCCATGGCGATGCAGACCCCTCACCTGCTCGGCGCTCTGCTGAGCCTCGCAGCTACTCACAGATTGACTCTCGGCATGGACCAGAGCATGTCAGAGCTCAATCTCTTGAAGGTCACCAGCCTCCGTCAGCTGCAGGAGGCTTTGGCCAAACCCGGAGCAGACATGGACGAGTCCATCGTCGCAACGACGCTTACCCTCTGCCACGCCGATTTCGTTTCGGATGGGCGCAGCCCCGGGTCCTGGCGCTCGCATCTGCAGGGTACGACTGCAGTAATTGCCTCATATCTAGAAAACAGCAAGGCTAGCCTTGGCTCTCTCTCCAGCACCATGTCTCTTCTTTGGCGATGGTACTTGTCCATCGAAACAGTTGCCCTGTTAACAGGGAATCTTGTCATGCCCAATGATTCTCGAGCTCTCCTTCAGATGCGGAAGCTGATTAGTGACGATGGGATCGATGATCTGGCCGGGTTCTCTTCCTCGCTAGGGCCAATATTCAAAGATATCAACCGTCTCGCGATAGAAGCTGATAATGCTCTCCAACAAGATGACGATCATATACTCACGGACACGGACCCCAAAAATCGCATTCCACTTTCAATTCTGGATCAAAGCTATCAGCTTATCAATGACATACATCAAAGATGGGCCCTCAGGAACGGAGATTCCAGCCCACGTCGACGCGTCACGCACAGAGAGACTTGCGATCGTGACGAGCTTTCATCACGTCGCACTAGTGCAATATACCGCCGTGTTCTCAACCTAACTTCTACTGATCCTTTGGTTCAGAGCTCGGTAAAGCATATTATTAGTCGAATATGCAAAGTACGGTTCCTGGGTGAACCGTGCCCTGGCATCGCCGTACTCCAACCACTCTTCACAGCAGGCTGTGAAGCGTCAAGTGGCCCCGACCGGGACAGTATCAATACTCTGCTTTTGAATTTTGAACATCGTTACGGCATGGGGAATGCCAGGAATTGTCGGTCATTTTTACAGGACTTATGGGCCACGAGAGATAATAACGGAGACACAGAAGGGAAAATTAGGTGGGATAAGGTCATGGGTATGTTGAATTTATCTATGCCTGCGTGGTGGGTGCCGAGCTAATGCTGCGTAGTTGAAAAAGGGCTTGACATTCTCCCTTATTGAGGGTATTGGCCAAGGTAGAGTTTTTGTTTTCGGCGCAAAAGATATACGGTTCAAAATCATGATCTTCCGCGTCTTGGTCTGGCGAATCTATGCTGCTTCATGTATGTCATTCGTCCTCTGACGGGCGAACAGTTGACATCATTTTATCACTCGATGCCACTGTTACGATACCCCGTCTCCATATAAACCTTGGGGAATTCAGATCCGCCGCATCGCGCTGCAATATCCATTGTAAGTTGAGAAGGTCCCAATCGGACAAGAGAAAGTTATAATCTGGAGTATTTGTCTCCTTAATGATGCTGCCCCTGAATAACCTTCTCTATGTATATTCCAAGTTTACAATACCTATCTAGATTGGCTGGAATTGCTGGAATATATTTAGGGAGCCAAAAAAATTAAGAGACAGACGTTTCTTTGTGTAATAATAGGCTGTAATGTGGTGCAAAATAAAGGAGGCCGGAAATTATCTCACTCTTATGAAGCACAGATATGTCCTAAGAGGGGGTGAGATCTTTTACCCATAAAATTCTGAGGAGAGTCCAGGCAGATAAAACGCTAGTCCTTGGTCAGTAGGAATACTTGATTAATTGCAATAACATATGGTTATGACACATCTGTCCCGGTCTTGGAATTGTTTTAGGTATATATCGAGCGAGACGCGGCATGAGGTGGAAGGGGAGATCTGCTACCCACAGCGTTCCATAGGTCAGCACAGTGTAGATAGGGTTAACGTGAGAATCGAACGGTCGCGTCATACCTAGCTTGGAACAGAGGGTGCTTAGAGTGAGATTTGTTTCAGCTGCAGCCGTCATTCCTAGCCGTGACGTATTGACAAGCCATAGGCATGTCTATGGAGACAATTGTGAAGGGCACCTTAAGGCAGCCTTGTCAAGTGGTTATACAAGGTGAGCTCTCTGCTATGCATCGAAAATAAGCTCCAAGCTGCCTTTCCATAGGATGATTCTGCTATGTAAACTAGCAATAGCTAAGAAAGTAGAAGCTGGAGGTCAGACCAGAGAAAGGCGCAAGTTTATGGCCTAAAGGAAAAAAGTCACTTTTGGAACTAGCCTTAATCACGTGGTATGCTTATATAACTGAGGCTCAAATTACATAATGTGATATAAGTCACATGATCGTCTTGTTTTGCTTAGTAATATTACAGCTTTGACCAACAACTAACAATAACAAAAAAAAAATAAAAGATGGAAATATAAAGTAGCAAAAGGAACCACAAATGATTTGGATGTTGTTCGGATGTTATTAGTGACTTACAACTTCAAACTTCAAAGTTGTTCCTTACGGAGTACCAGCCTGGTCTATAACATGCTAATCGCGGCTCAACACCATGCAGAACCGCTCCAACGAAGCCCCTATGGACTTTGAGTGGCAGACAAGAGCTCCTGGAGATGCCACTTCGCCCTTCTACCAACTCGGCCTCAAGAATGATCAATCAAGTAAGCACGGTAGCTGGATAGGCGTGAATTAGAAAAGGTCGCTAACTTTTTCCATTAACTTCTTTAGATGGCCGTCGAACCTTTGCGTCCCCCATAAAACCCCAGACCCCAGCACCACGCGAGCCGTTGACCCAGACAACCCGCCTCGCGCAGCCCTCTTTTAATAATGTCAACCTCACCCGTGGCTCGTCTTTTACGACACCGCGCAAGTTAGAAGTGGATGTCTCCTCAGGAGCTGAAAACCTTTCATCTCCGGAGCATGCAGATAATGACGAGACCCCCGAACAACCGTCAAAGGCCACCCGCCGCAATTCCTTATTCAACCTCTATGGCATGTATGCTCCGGCTGCTCCAAGTTCTGGCCGTGGGGAAGTGCCACGCTCAAATAAGTTCCCGCATGCCCTGGCGAAGAAGGTCCAAAAGCGACGCAGACGAGATCGAGAGCTCAGACACGTCCGCCATTTCAGTGAAGACAGCAGTGATGACCGGCTGAGTAGCCGCGGGTTGGACCGGAAACCACAAAACGCACAACAGAACAACCAAGTTGAAAACACGCATCATATACCCTACCTTTCACGGCTCTTTACCTTTCTCGAAACTCACCCACATATTCCTCGAATACTGTCATACTACGCTCAATTCACATTTAACTTGATAATCGCCTTCTTGATATTATACGTCATTGTTGCTTTCTTACTTGCTATTAAACACGACGTCGAGATAGCTAGTGAGAGCCAGTCGGCGGATATCCTTGCAGAGATAGCCATATGTACTAAAAACTACGTCGAGAACCGTTGCGGTGACCCTGATGGGAGGAGACTACCTGCACTGGAAACGGTGTGCGATAACTGGGAGAGGTGTATGCATAGAGATCCTGCAAAAGTTGGCCGGGCAAGGGTATCCGCACAGACACTAGCGGAGATATTCAACGGTTTTATCGAACCCATTAGTTTCAAAGCAATGGTAGGAACCTCCCCGCACAGCCTTGTTTAAACACTAAAAATTTCCAAGGCTAACGGTGTACAGTTCTTCTTTATATTCTCCATAGCTCTCTGTGTCACAGTTTCTAACCTTACCTTCTCTTTCTTCCGCAATAAATCAAACAATCCACCTCCAATGCCGTCCGGTTATACAGGCTATACGGCCCCTCCTCACATGCCCACTCAGCAGTCCCACCTCAGCTACACATCTGGCCATTCGAGGCTAGAAATGGACAATCCATTCTTTAGTCACAACGCTCCCCAAGGTGTTTTTAGGGGTGACAAGGGCCCGGAAAGTCGGCCCCAAGGACAACTAGAAATGGCACCTTCCTCCAGCTATCCCTCTCACGACCACATGAGAACTCCAAGCCCAGTGAAGCAGAGGAAGTTTATGTGACCCCGTATCGCTCAAGCACCTCTCTTTTTTGGCACCCTGGCCATCAATGCCGTTACAGGGCTGTTATGTTCTTGTATATTTGGACATGGCTTTGTTAAAATTATCCAATAGCGCTGGGCGCTTTGACTAGTTATTATTTCCCCCCTTTAATATTCTACCTTTTGAGAACACTGAGATTTGGTTTCTTATCCCATGCATAACCATTCTTGATTTTAATTGACTCTATATCAGGGTTAGATTAGCGCAATGATTAACGAGATAAATAAAATATATACAAACACATGTCAATCTTCATCTCATCTGTTGAGTATCTGCCACTTGTATTTTCTATGTGTAAAGTACATAAAAATAGGCCATTATCCAACTAAGATATCCTTGATCTTAGTCCAAATGCTCTTCTTGGAGCTATCTTCCATAATATCTTCACCATACTCCCTTCTCCCACTCCAAATGTCCATCTCCTCTAATTTGACGATTTTAGTCTTCTTAGTGAACTTCCAGATAAGCACCAGTATAATGAATACGGGTAGAAGGATATAGTTGATAACGAAATCTTCGGCACTAAACGGGTTAAGGAAAGCTGTGTATCCCTGGAAGAAAACCAGAAATATGTTTGCTGCAAGAGCAAGATAGGTTCCCCAGGGGTAAAACATGGCTTGAAACGGTAACACAGTGACGTCTTCGCCTTGGATTGCGAGGGCCTGGCGGAAACGAATATGGGTTACGGCTATAACAGCCCAAACAATAAAAGTGCACACTTTTTGACATGTGTCAGTATAACGAGTAGATATTAGATAGGATTCCTAGCTCGCTTACCTCCGGATAGAGTTATGAGTGCAGAATATAGCTTTCCTGCACTAGAAGACAGGGAGAGGAACGATATACAAGCGACTAGATTGGTAAAAAGCAAGGCAACCCAAGGTACGCCGGCTCTGTTTGTTCGGCCCAGTATGGCGGGTGCCTTGCCTGTTCGCCCCATGTAAAGCATCGTACGGGAGGCCACGTATAGTGAGCTGTTACCAGCCGAGATAACGGAAATAACGATCAGGCCGTTGATCAAATGAGCAGCCGGGAGGATACCTGCATCGGAGAGTGCAATGGTGAGTGGAGACTGTGCCGTCTTGGAGCCGGAGGAAAGGAGACGTTTGTCATCATATGGTAGTAGGATACCGATGAAGAACATCATTCCTAATATCACGGTTCAGTTTTAATACTGCGCAGGATGCCATGATCGAGGTATACGAACCAACGTAGAAAATCAAAATACGCCAAAACACCTGGCGGATAGCAGTTGGAACGGCGGTTCGAGGATTTGCCGATTCACCCGCGGTGATACCGACCCTAGATCGAGTCAGTTACGATGCTTAGGGGAGCAATAATGCCAAAGTCATATCGTACATTTCAGTTCCCGCATACAGAGTCCCTGCAATTACAAATGTCTTTGCAACTCCGTTGATTGAATCGGCGAAAGCGCCAGGGTCCTTCCAGTACTTAAAGCCAATAGTTTTACCTCCAATACCACCAGCGCTGATACAAGTTGCCAGGATAAAGAATATGGTAAGGGAGATGACTTTAATCCTATGCACAGGTGTATATTAGCCGATACTGTAGGAGAAGATGTTAAGAAAAAAGGAGAAAATGGAGTTGCTTACAAGGCAAGCCAGAACTCAACCTCGCCGTATGTTAAAACTCCAAGATTCGACAAGGCGAGGAAAATGACCCAGAACATAAGAATCCATGCCCATTGGGGTACGACATCTGTCCAATAACCCATGACAAGAGACAGCGCATTGTATTCGTTTGACAGGACCTGCAGAGTATCAACAGTGATCCTACTGGCAAAGAGAAATAATAGTGGTCAAGAAAGGGAGGCACTGACGGTAACCCATAGGTACCAATAGGCCCAGCCAAGACCAAAAGCCAGTGAAGGATCAACAAAGCGAGCCGAATACTCTGTGAACGATCCTGATACAGGTATGAGAGTGGCCATTTCACCCAACGATTGCCTAAGAAAGTTCTTTAGCACCATATATATTCCAACTACTCCTCTAGCCATAACCACAGCGAGAAGCACTTACATTATGAAGAACACTAGAATCCCAACAAGTGTAAAGCTGATGATAATGCCGGCTGGGCCAGCAACATGCAGCGCATTTCCAGATCCAACGAGTAAACCGGGCCCAATGATGCCTGTTCCAAATTAAATATTAATCATCTGGGTGCTGTAGAAAGGCATTGGAAACATCACACACCTCCGATGGCAATCATCTGAAGATGTCTCGACTTCAGAGTCCGATGCAGCGGTGCATTCTGGGGAGTCTCATCTTGATCTCCGCTCTCCAGCAGCACAGGATCCCCCGGAGACTTCCCATGCGCGCTCGTAGGAATGATCACGTCTGCGCCATCGGAAGTGCTCTCAGCAATAGCCATCGTAGAAGCTCATACACTGTTTCTTCCACCCTCACAAAAATCGTCGGGGCAACAAAGGCCACGGCTGACCTCGAGCCAGTCAAATTCTAGAGCCCTCGGCCTGAAAGAGATTTTAAAAATGCAAGTGAAAAGGGAACGAACTCGAAGACGGCCCGACAGGCACAGGACTTGAGAGATGTCAAAATAAAAAGCCGAAGCCGAGCTCTTCTGTTACCCGACAGTTGCTCTCGTTCCAGCGGGGAAAGATACGAGAGAATGCTTTAGCTCCTCCACGGCCAGGGATCTTTAACACGCAACATGTCCGACACCACAAAGAAAATACCTGTGGCGGATGGCATCATCTCCGCCAAGTAAGATAAGCAAGAAACAGCAAACATTGGTTGAGAGTGGCTAGCGAGTTGTGGAGGATATGCTTGTAGCGCCAACTATATTAATACTCTGTAATAATAGCAGCTAAGGTTGTAGTTTAGTTTCTTCGCCTCTTTGGTCGATATCAAAAAAACGAACTAAGTTTCGTTGTTAAAGTTTATCTAGTTTAGAGCTGATTAGTCATGATAGCTTATATAAACTCTTACTAACTTTTTAGTTTCGCTGATGAGTTTCCCTTATATGTCAAAAATCTCCTCTAGGAAACATCATAAATGAACATCGCATCATCTCATCTCTTTGTTATCGGTTCCGCTGAGGGTGATGCCGGAACAAGCGTTCTCTGAGGCCCATGGAACCACCTCTTTGCTGATAAGAAATAATACAGCAGCGAGCCAACCCAGACACATCCGTTGATCACGACCGTGTAGTTCATATTGTCCGCTGTAGATGTGTCAATTCAGCGTCAGCATTGAACTTATGCTTACTTGAAGAGGAAGAGCAGGAGACACGGGCTGGACTTACGGCTCGGTGCAGGCCCGGCAGTTGGGAACATCGAAAGGGTGATTGAGAAAGCCAAATACACCAATGCGATAATGGCGATAGGGGTGCTGAGCCGGCCTGTATAGAACGAGCCTGGTTTAAACTTATCTTGGCCCCAGAAGATGCGGCAGAATATCGGTGTCGCCCATGCAACGCTATTCCCGGCAACAGTCAACGAGAATAGAGCGTTGGTAGCGGCGTTGTTAATCAGGCATAGTAAGCCTAGAATAACTGATGTGATGGTGACTCCCGCTACTGCACGCGCTGGCTGGTAGCGAAATCTTGTGCTGACGACTTTCAAGTAGTCTGAAAAAGGGAGAGCCCCGTCACGGGAAAAAGCCCAAGTTTGTCGAGATGCCGCTATGACCTGGATATCAGCCCTGTTAGTGATAATCTCGACACATGAGTACCCATTTTATGGTTGGAAAGGCCCCTTACAATGCTTAACCCCATGAAAAACTGGACTGTCGCCATCGTCACCATAAATCCTATGGCTGCATTCTTGCCCAAGGCATCGTAGTATATCTGGGTGCGAGTCAGTTTACATTGATATCCCGAGACAGAGTGTATACGGTGTACGGATCACGGATCAACTGACCTGGGCGATTGGTTGGCCGAATCGGCTCTCGAGGATTGCATGGGGATCAGTGCTCATACAAGCAGCGATTATGCAGAGAGACACAAATCCAAGGGACCAACAGGCACCGATAGCTCCGAGAATTCCATACGGGACAGCTTTGGCGGCATTCATGGCTTCTTCGCTCATGTGAATACAGGAATCAAATGCGCCAACCGACCAGATCGGTGAAAGCCATGCGAGCATAAACGCCCATCCGGCCGGCCACGTCGTGAGGTTATCTATGTGGCCGAAAACGTAGGCTGCAGAGTTGATACCCTCGACTGTTCGTGACCTTCCGATTGGCAAAGCGATGACTGTTGCCAGGACTAAACCAACATTAGCAACAATACAAGCCGTTTGTATACGATGCATTATGGGCGCGGCCAAGATAGCGAGGACCCCGTGGGTTACTATGGTAGCTGCGTAAACACCATATATCAGATTTCTTGAGGCCATCCATTCCCCGTCTCGGACGAAAGAGACAATAGCGAATACCATTAGCACAAAGCTATCTGTTTTTTGCGAAAGATACATTAGCACCGGGCTGAGGATCACCGCGATACCCCCGTCCACTCACAATCAACCGAGCATATACCACCGATGAGCCCAATGGTGTTGCTATAGCCGACAAGAAAACTAAGAGGGTTCTTCCACTTGGCAGCCGCAAAGTGGTGAGTCCACCAATACAACCCTCCGGATGTTGGCAATGCAGAGCCAAGGTCAGCCTATCGAAATTCAGCGATGATACACACAAAAGCAATATATATACGATAAAAGAGTTCCCTTTTAACGCACCAGAGCAGTCCCAACTATGAATATAAAAAAGCAGGCAGTGAACCAGCCCTATATAATAATGTACAGGGTTAGCCTTATCCCAAAGCTGGTGTTACCATAGAGAGGGACTTGTATCCTAAGGTTGTATTTTACATACCCAAACCATGGCTGCTGGCCCAGCAGATACTGAGAATGATAGTGTTGATGCGATCGATGGTAACAAGCCCATAATACTGAAAGCAATTGCAAACACCTGGAGCGTAGAGTAATGCCTGCGAAACTCCTGTTTATAGCCCATGGCAGCTAAGCACAACTCTGCCTTAGCACATTTACTGTGTTTTCTGCAAAGAGTGAACTATATCTCTGTTCTCTTCTGTCAACTCACCAAGCAGTTCTAGATCAAGGGCCTCTGCTAGATCGTTTCCTCCAAAAGGAGGCTCTTGCCCCGTCTCTCTGGTAGAGAGGCTACCTGGGGATCGATCCATGGTACTGGCAAACGTGAAGGGAAAAAAAAAAAAACAGAATAGTGGGCTGTCCGTCAAGCAGTTGAGTTGAAAATGCTTTTTCATGCAAGAAAGCAAGCTGACATGCCGGCTTTGGTCCCGCAAACAACCCAGCCAATGAGAAAAGATCTTAACTTTGGGCTAACCTTAAATTAATTTGGGTTGCGGCTCTATTTCACGTCTAAAACGAGTTTTAAAAGAAGGTATCTCGAATATCCACATCAAGTTGTTCTCTTCGATGCAAGGCGGCTTATTATGAAGGATTGCATGGTTATACATCCAGGTACCCGCTCTCGAGAATCTCGCGGACTGTCAGACGAGCGCTCGGGTCTGGGTTCAACACCTCAGCTAAGAATTGGATATCCTCACCCGCAATTCCATTTTCGACCATAGTATTCGCCCACATATATGCTTCATCCGGCTGAGCGGGAGGTAATAGTTTGGCGCATCGCTCATCGTCGGCGTAAAATGGAATAGATGCGAGGTCGAAATCGATTGCAAGCTTGTCACGGACTGCCTTTGATTTTTCTTTGAGTGTCCCAATTTGACCCGAATCGTACATTCCTGGCGACTTGAAGTCAACTTTAGCTTGCAACAACTGGGCCAACTATGAATTATATAAATTATTAGTGGGTAGTATATATATTCTTAGAACGTATGGACTGACAATTATCCCCCAGGACCAGACATCTGTACTCTGTGTCCACGGTTTCCCAAAGTGGACTTCGGGGCTGCGATATGTAAGAGAAGTGATCTCTCTACTGCATGGTTTGCTGACTATGGAACGAGTTAGAATTGTGCGTAGAAGAATAGAGTATCGACATGAAAATAGCCTTACTTGCATCGCAGTCTGCCAGTCTGACAATAATATCTCGCACATTTTCGTTCGGCTTGGAGGAATCAAGCCCTGCAACGGCAACATTCTCCATCTTTAAATCTGAACGTTTAACCTGTCAGCAACAGTGGAAGATTTATTTAGTCTTTCTTATTTTGTAAATACTTACCAGTGTACACCAAGCCTTTCATATGCACCGTAAATATGCCTAAGAGAACGCCCTTCATAACCCATTTGATTTCCGGTATAGTGAAGGGCCTTGTATGTCGAGCTCCCCATAGGGACTGCGGAAACGCCTCTAGAACCATCATTGGCCCACCAGGTTCTGATTCAGGTACATAGTCGACAAGCGGACGGATCATTGGATCATTGGCGAAAAGCCTTTGCATCTCTAGCTCGTGTTTGAAGGCCGCGAGTGACCATGCATCGTCACTTCTAGTATCCGTGGGAGGTTGCTTGACAACATATTCAGCATCATTGGAAACATCTCGAGCAAGCCACACATTGGGCGTTTTGCCCGGGATTTGAGCCCCAAGCGGACGAGTGAGTCGGTAGCGAGTACCACTCTCCCGACGACAGATCAGTCCAAGGGCTGACATTCGAGAGTATACGGCATAAGGAACTTTAAAGGGCAAAAACGGAGTGGGTTTTAGTCGAGGCTGTAAAGCAAGAGGCCGCCCAGAAAGTCGAGAGAGTGTTCGCATGCCGATTGGATATAGCAAGAATGGTTTGGTCAATGTAAGATACTTGAGAAAGATTTTGTTCTCATACGCTGGATAGTAACTAAAAGATTGTACAATCTCACGCATCAGTTACTGACAGCATCAATTTAAACAGACCGACATTTAAATCATAGCTAACTAGTTAACTTGAAAAAAAAAAAGGCCTGCTGTGCTGGTTGACTGCCCGAAGTTCTATGAATGATCATATAATATTTAAAACTGTAACTTCAGTAGCAACAATTGGAGAATGAAATTTCGGGACCCAAACCCCTGCTCTAAAATGCTCAGCTGGTCAAGTAAGTCATGTTGCATTTTATGAATCAGCGTAAGTGTGGACTTTAAAGATCCGGTCTCTTGAATGTACGCTAATACCCAGCTTTTTACTTCCAAGGGCAACCCATCTGCGCCTTTATGCTGCAAGACGCCCTGAATTGCCTTTTGATGAGCACCCGGGTGCTGAAGAGTGTATATTAAAGGGAGAGACATTTTCCCTTCGTCAAGATCTTCACAAAAACCTTTGAATTTAGTGTACTGTTATTGTTAGCTTAACTACCGTATGTATCGATATACTAACGTGGACGTGAATACCTCTTTAGAAGCAAGATTTTGGTAATCATCTCGGATCTGGTAATACCGACCGAGAAGAGTCACGAATTTACTGAAGTCGACGCTTGGGCGGTGCGATGTTAGAAGTAGCGTCAGTAAAACCGTATGGAAACGCTTACTTGGGGGCAGCGGATTCAGCTTGCATAAGTCGAACACATAGCCGGAATAGAGCTCCGGTTTCTATGACTTGTCAGGTATGGTATAATGATTTTGTTGTGGGTTTCTCTTGAAAGAACGCTTACTGTTATCAATCATCATCATATATTCCTCAACCGTTGGGCAACAAGAGTGGTATTTCCAATGCAAATCGGAAGCCTGGCCGCAGAAAGAATTCTGTACTTCATCTATAAAATGATCAGTATTCACCTGTAAAGCCTTAGATTCCTCGTGGGCTTACCAATATAAATGGCGGAGGCAGCTGCGTTACTGAGATTGCTTAGCTCCGCAAATGTATTGACAAAGACATAGTTGGCCGAGTTTATAGTTTGTGCGGCGCCATATATCAAGTGCGTAGACGGTTTGCCGCGCCGAAGCTTAGAATTATCTTCAATGTCGTCGAGCCTAATGTTTAAATCAGAAATGTTGAAATGATATCCTGTGCAGGGAAGGCTTGTTTCACATTAGAGACGCATGATGTAGCATGTCGGCAATCTTTTTGATTGTTGACAAGATGGGCTGGGGTATTTTCAGCCATAAATTAAGGGCGTCAATCAACGCAGCTAGGGTGTTCTTTGATGGTAATGAGGCGATGTACTTGTATGGAGCGAGCACAATCTACCATAGTTAATACGCTGATAATGCTGAGAAGAATAAACTTACATCATCTGAGGGTTTGATAATCTCGTTGAGTGTATGGGGTGCTCCCTGATCTTTGAGGGTAGAATTAGTTCTATTCTCATGGACATCATTGGCGTCACTGGTATTAGTATTCTTAGCATTAACGTTATCAATGCCGCTGTTAATAGCGAAAGTGGCACTCTTGTCGGTCAAAGGCGAAGATGACTGGCATGGAACGCTGTCAGCCGTCTCATATTGAAATTCCCCGCCAACTAGAACGCACTCTGGCTGATTTAAACCAGCTTTAGTTGGATAACGGCGGGCAAAGATGCTCCAGAACTCCGAACCTGAAGCCGCATGCTGCGTTGCCGTTATATATTTACGGTGAGTTTCAGTAAGCCCTTCATCCCGCTCAATTTTTTGAAGGAGCGCTAGGTGTTTCTCTTGCAAGAAAACATATTCTTCGCGTAGCTTAGCAAGGGCTTCGGGCTCAGAGCAATTATACTGTCGCATCAGAATAGAAACAGCGTTCAACGGCTCCTTGGAGTGCTTCTTTTCGATGTGATGCTTGATTTCCTTTGGCCAGCTGTAGTAGTCATCGACCAGAGCAGCTGAAGTCAGGGCCAGGTTGACAACCTCAGAATACTTTGCCTTCTCTTCCCTTGTCAAGTGGATACCAAGGCCGAAGCACCACATGTCTAGAAACATACTACATTTTGATGTTAGACCTGTCGAGGACAACGGACTGGGGAGGAAGACCTTACTCGGCACGAATGTTGCTGTGGCGGAGAGGGGTATACTCTTCCAATGTTTGTACTCTAGAGGGAGGCAAAGTGGACATGTCTAGATCATTACTGTATGAAGCCAGAAGATTCATGGCGAGTTCTCGGTCCATCTCCATCATCTCGACCAAGATCCTTGCTTCGAGCTGTTTGGCGAACGAGACCGTGTTTTCGACCTCAGCTGCAGCATAGTAGTCTAGACAGTAATGAGCTGAGAGCCAGAACCTAGTTGGTAGGTGTAAATACCATCCTTGAGGGCTGCAAAATCCACAAATTCCGCCAGTACAGGCAGCCTTTCTGGTAAACATCCGGGGATAATAAAAGCCACAGTGTGAACCGGGCCTAACAGTGGAAAAGTGTCAATGGTCTTTGCATCCAGTTGGACATTTAGGGTAGCCTTGAACTCTTCCTTGAGCCTAGAAGACCTGTCTAGGCAGAGAGAATGATTGGCGTGGACGAGTACAGGGAAGCGAGTCAAAGCCTTTGACTGCTTGATGATATCTTCGGGGATTGGTACCGCAAAGGACGTCATTGTAGAGGTGACATCTAGCAAACTAGATGATAAATATATGTCGTAAGGCCCCTGGTAGCGACAACGATGGAGAAAGACAGACTCCTTATAAGGGGCTTCTAAGTAGTTATGTCAACCCTGGTGAGATGAAAAGAGTGCCCCTCACTGAGTGCTTTCGCGTATAACTAACGGCTAGCCCATCACATCTGAACAAGCCAGACAACGGGAAAGGATCCTTTGTCGGTTTCTTGCATCTCAGGTTGACTATCGTATGCTCGTGCTCCGGATATCTCTTATATCATCCCCTAAAACCGTTCGAGGAGCGACAGAAACATCCTTTCGAGTCATGTTCTTGTCACTGAAAAGGCCACAGCTGGATGCCCCTAACATCAAGTTTAAGGTGGTATGGTCTAGTGGTATGACGTGGCATTGTGGCTGCCCCAGCCTGGGTTCGATTCCCAGTACCGCCAACGCTCTAAGGAGTTTCTTTTTTTCCTCCCGTCGTTCATTTTTTTTTTTTTTTTTTATTTTCTTCAAATAATAATAATAAGTGAGATATAACTCTACTGTGTATAGATCTATCTGTCTAGATGCAAGATAATCTGGATGTCGTATTCTTGAAATCCGCCGACACGCGACCATAAAGGCCGTCATCAACAAGGAGGCTAAACCCAGTCATGGCCATGGCCTTTCCAGCCTTGATTGCTCTGTCGTTAGCGATTTGGGTTGCTGCTGCTGCTTCGAAGCCGCGAGTGTGCACATTGACGCTTTTATCGGTAGGAATCCCGATATATGCATGGAGAGCAGGCAGTTCGTGGGAGACGTTTCCTTGGTCGGTTGAGCCGGCCATCCTCTCATCCTCGGATTCCAGCACCTTCTCTCCCTGGAGCCACATGTCTTTCTGAAAAGCGCTACAGAGAGGCTTGTTGACGCGGAAATCAGCATAGATGGGGTCCTGCTCGAGGCTGATCTTGCAGCCGGTGGCCATGGCTCCGGCTTCAAGGCATTTACACACGCGTTCCCCGAGCCGTTTGGTTGCCTCAACGGTAGGGCTCCTGACGGTGTACCCGATCTTTGTGTGTTCCGGGATTGCGTTGGTAATCTTTGGAGCTTGCATGATGGCTCCGTGGATTCTTTCTTCGGGCCGTATCTGCTGTCGTAGCATGGATACGTTGTTGTACGATGCCACAACTGCGTCCAGGGCGTTGGTTCCCTCCCAGGGGCTTGCTGCAGCATGCGCGCTGACACCCTCATACGTGCACATGATGGTATAGCTTGCCAGCGAGGTCGTTCCCCCGGAGCCAATCGCACCGTCTTTGAGGTATTTATCGTCTGACATCGGGTGTCTAAGAGAATGAAGTTTTGAACAATGCATCGCTTTGAATATCTATATCTCAAGCAGTCAGAGACACAGAACGGGGTAATTTCTTACATCATCAAAGATACGTCTGGGAGGGTGTAGGCTCCAGCGTTGAGCAGATCGATCTTCCCACCGCCAGCTTCCTCTGCCGGGGTCCCGAGCAGCTGGGCTCTGCCTTTGATGCCAAACTTCTTGATGGCGTAGACAAGCGCAACAAACGCCGTGACACTCGCAGTGGAGATGAGGTTGTGCCCACAGGCGTGTCCCAACCTGGGCAGAGCATCATACTCGGCGTTAAAGTTGATACACCGTCCGGGTCCCTCTCCGGCCAGGACTTCAAAGGCCGTTTCTAGGCCGTATGCATGGCGTGTCGGTTTGAACCCTAGTTCTTCGAGAAAGTCGCAGATGGCATCATGGGCGTGGTGCTCCTTGTAGGCGGTCTCGGGGTGGTCGTGTATCTTTGTAGCTACCGTTAGTTCTCTAAGTTCTGTTCCCGATATAGTTATGTTCCATGCTTACGGTCTTGTTTAAAACATGCAGGCGCCCCGAGAGGCTGGCGATGTATGAATTGATAGCTTCCAACAGCTCTTCTGGCGTGTGTCTGCCCACTCGTTTCGTGGTCATTTTCACTTGCAGGACATGGAATCGGCGAGAATCTCTATGATGTAGTTTATTAAAAACACAGCCATAGTCGGTTAACTAGCTCTCTACCCCAAACCCTTAGTCATGTATCGATGCCCTCATAGGGACATCATGTTACATCGCGTTTCAGGATGTCGACCGAGGTAACTACATAGTGCGGTGTGTATGTACAGGCTATGTACGGAGTACTACTATGTATGTATATAAACTAACGGCCGTTGGTCGGGAAGTCCATATGGCGACTTACATACACAACGTCGGACAGCCAATTGCGGCAAAGGCATTTCAAATAGCCCCTTATTGTATAGATGATGCTTTATACACCTTACCTAAGCTACTTTTCTAATAATAGAGGATTATATAATAAATATTACATAAGAAACGGCCCTTGCATGATCTTACGTAAGTTGGTCAAACGTCATCGCAGCTTAAGGCTCTACTCCGTACATAGCATATGTATACAACCTGTTGATACTATCCTGCTGCTGGAAGTCTTTCTGTTGTTGTCATCATATTTGCAAGCCTTCCCTCTTCGTCTTCTTTCCCATCTAGCCAGCATGCCTCGTTCAAGGAACGTATGGATTTCGCTTGACTCTGACCCCGACGTTATCAGAGGCGGCTTAAATGCATCTGATACAATAACGAATGCGCAGTTCCTTGCCCTTCTTCGGATATTGTTTCATGCTCCAGGAGGTTTTAATGCCTGCAAAGAGGGTTCGAGTCTCCCTGTCCGGCAAAACGATGAAGTTCTTCCTCACGGTCACTATATCCTCTCTCCTACTACCCCAGGCCAGGTACTCGAGGTAACCAATGATCGATACTACCCCCGGACATTGTCGAGGTCTAGCTCTTGCCGAGATGCTACATTTGTGCGAGATGTGAGACGTCGTGATAGGGGCTGTATGGTCACCGGGGCTATAGCTATGGATGCTGAAGACGATTATTGGTCTGGGTTTGAGGCCGCTCATATATTTCCCCTCGCGTTAAGTGAATTGTTTTCGTCATTTGACTTTCCAACAGTTATCCCTAATGAAAGAGGCATCAATGCCCCGAACAATGGTATTCTTCTTCGTGCTGATGTTCATCAGCTATGGGATAGCTATGCGATAGCTGTTAACCCAAATGATGGCTTTCGTATTCAAAGCTTCCGAGGAAGTTCTCACCAATATCATAACACAGTCCTCCAGCCTGCCTGTCGCCACCCTGAGGACCCTCACCGTGTTATCGATGCTCTACTTACTTGGCACTTTAAGCAGGCCGTGCTCTACAATATGCGCGGCGCTGGAGAACCAAGTTTTGAGTTCGATTTCCCTCCCGGGACCGATATGGTGGGCCTCATTCGAGAAGGGCCACTGCCTGCTGAGAGGATGGAGGCAGAGCTGTTCGGGCGTCTGTATGGGCTGACTTGATTCACCGGCAGATGACAAATTGTTCCCTAGTGAGCGCCTTCTCCAGTGTGCTGTCGTCCAGCCGGCAATGTCCATCCCTGCCAGAATATAGCTGGTTCCCCATTTGCTCATTTCCATATGAGCCAGAGCTTATCGGGTGTAATGGGTTCTGAGATCCCCGTGAGCCCCGGGACCCTCCTTCGCTGCTACAGGGGATATGAGCTGTTCGAGTGGCATCAACATAAGTCTTCCTCGATTGGTTGCGGTCAAACTTGAGGCTCGGAATATATTTAGCGGCGAGAGGTCGGTAAAATGGCAAACAAGCGTTTATTGCGCCCAACTCAACCTCCAGGCCACCGAAAGTTACATCCTTGACAACGGTATAAGAATAGTCATTAACCGCCAGGCTCAAGACAGCGTACACTCGAAGGCCCGAGAAAATGCAAACACTAGTAGTCATGGAATCAGTGGCAGGAAGCAGCGAAAAGAAAGATATTGTCCAACTTACAACAAACCGACGGCGAATATACTACAGAGTGCCAACCTCTTGGTCCTATTCATCTGCAGATTCCAAAGCACGGGTATCGGGAGAAGATATATGGACAAGTCGATGATCAAGTTGGTCACAGCCACGGCTAGGTACGCCTTGGTCGCGTTGCCACAGCTTCCGGCTTCAGCTTTATCCCAAGTGTAGCTTAGGGGATGACAGAGCAAGAATGGCTCCAAAACACCAGCCAGGAAGAGCGCAATGGTGAGGGCGCTCTCAATATAAACGGCAATTCTCATTGATAGTTTCGAGCCGAAGATCTTGTGGTAGAAGGAGAGGATAGAAAGCTTTGTGAACGTTGTGGCCGTGGACCAGATGACTGGTCCGACTATAAATGTCTAACATGTATTGCCGGGTTAACCAGTATTCCATAAACTGCGGTTGCATAGAGATAACCAGAAGCAAATGGTACCTTTAGTAGTAGTATAAGCTGGGCTCTGTTTGCTTGGGACATATGCAGCCCTGCGCCGCCCACCACGGCAACTGTATGGGTTGAACGTTAGCCATCATGCGTCGCCTATTGTGTAATTATGATTAATCGAGCAAGGTTGGACCTACTTATAATAGCCAGAGCTGCCGTAGCAATAGTAAAGATCTACGGTGGTTATTTGTAGATACTGTCAGCCATCTTGTGATGAGGTAGGTGGACTCGCGATATCATCCATAGAACGACCATACCAGTGCTGGGACTATTAAATAATCACTCAAATAGTAATTCCTGCCAATAAGGCTGATGGCGTAGAATCTTAGGATCACAGCGATGATGGCGAGAATGGTGAATGTAGTGTTGATGACTATGAGGAGGATCCCGCCAGCCGGGAGAGCCATATTGGACAGCTGATGGCAAATCGTTCACCTTAGTGATAATTATATAGCCAGAGAGTTGATTGAAGTAAAGCCAGATAATAGCCTGTGTGCGACCTTGGTCTACTCTCCTAGCCAGTAGACGTTGAGTATCCCGTCGTATAGAGGTATAATAAGACAGACAGAGAGTCGAGCATTTCCACCTGTGCCCTGTATGAGAACAACCAAGCTTGATTTCGTGAAGACAAGCAATAATCTAGCAGCAGCGGATTGATCATCTCTATATTCAAAGGAAGAAATGTGGCTCGTGGTATGATGTATATATATACACACTATATCAAACCGACTTCTTCCATGGTTCATAGTCAAAAAGTAGATTTAGCATTTACTTTTCTTATACTTTCTTTTCTTTCTTCTAGACAAAGAGAGACCTTCACAGTCCTTGGAGGTGTCTAGTACCTGTGGCGCAAGGCAGAAGTTGGAGCGGGAGAGAGTCCTCTATACATAGTCAAGCGGGAATCCTTAGCTAGGCCAGACATCCCTTCGACTCCGGCCTTGAACAGAAAACATCTTCAGGTCCAGATCAAGCTGACAGGACAGAAGGCAAAGTAGCTTCGTCCTGACACCGACTGCACGGAGAATTCCGGGGCGCAAGGAGTTGGAAGTTCTTCGTCATCCATATCATCGATATATCTCGCCTCGGGACGTAAGTCATCTGGTCGTCGTCTATACATCGTTTCAACAGGCCAAAGAAGCGGGTTAGCCTTTCGTCCGTAAGCCATCGACGCTCTTCTTCTTTGTCCTTTTTCCCATGGTGTTTTGGACAGCTTCGTATAGTTAGTTGTAAGAAGGTTAGACTTCTAGCCAGTTGAAAAACTCTGCAAGCTAAGAATAATAGCTAACTGATCAAGTTAACTGCTGCGATGAAGACTGTTCGTCTCGCCATCCCCCGTCGTCACCTTCTACCGGTTAACGGTTCCCGAGGTAGCTTTTTCATCTGACAAGACATAATGTGATGGAGCTTCGGAACAAAGGTATTCATCACAGGCCAGTCTCTGGCGGTGGCAACGGCCAACCCAGGAGGTCATTCGTTGCTCGCCATAGTTTGAAGCTCTCCGACTCGCCGAAGCTCTTTGAGCTTTCTCGATATCGGAGATGGCAAAGCTGCATGGCGACCGTTGCAAGCTGGCAGAGCCTTTGTTTATAACGGCTTTGTTGATAGCGTTTGGTTGGTGGCTGCCTGTTGGGAAGTTATTGGAAGTTGAAGAAACATTCTGGGCATAAACCAAGTAATTATGTGATGATAGTTATTATATACTGCCACAGCTGACGGCCAGCTCGAGCTATTGACCTTGACCAGCCAGTTTGCTCAATGCATCCCCCGAGACACACATCCCCAGCCACTCCTCCTTCGGTGCTGCTCCAATGGACTTGTAGAACTTGATGCTGGGCTCATTCCACTTTAAAACGGACCACTCAAGTCTTTTCCCTCCGATCCGAATGACCTCTTCTGCCAGCGTTCGCAGTAACTTGAAGCCGTATCCCTTGCCTCGATAGGCCGGCTGGACGTATAGGTCCTCCAGGTAGACGCCTGGTGCTGACCTCCAGGTCGAGTAGTTGTAGAAAAAGAGGGCCATCCCTACGGGCTTGGGACTGCCGCCCGCTGCTGTTGCTGGCGGGGTGATGAGGAACGTATATACAGAGCCTCGCTTGGGCGAGTCTGCGAACGAAAGGGTCTCCTTCAGAGAAGAGAGAGTAGCCTGGACCTCGTGCTGCGCCTTTTCGTACTCAGCCAGCTCGTTGATGAACTGGAGGATCATAGGGACATCTGTTTGACGGGTTCAAACAAGTTAGAACAGAGTTAATCTTCTTTTTCACTTCTCTAGGTCGAGCCATTGGAAAATCTGGGGTAAATCGTACCATCCTCTGTTGCCAGTCTTGTGGTCGGTTGGCCGGACATGGTAGTTGCTGTACTATATATATATTAACCGATTGCTTCTTGTCTAATATAGGGATGAGTTAAACATTTACTCGACAAGAGTCAAGGTATTAGTTATATATACCTTTTTTTTTCCCGTGTATAGTGGCAAACGCCCTTTATTGGCAAAATACTTCACGCCCTTTGACGGGCGAACCCGAGGTTCGGTAGATATCGTGTTGACCGTATAGCTATACTGAGAGTACGTATGTCGTATTAATTCATCGAATGAGAGGCTAAATTACAAGGCTACATTTCATCGTGATGTTATGGCAGACATCCATTTTTGCTCGTCCGTCCTGCAAGCAGAGCAAGCAACTTAGTATATAGATGATCTTAAAGGCTTCGGCTCTGGAGACGGGTCAGCACTTACGGGTCAAAATGGAGCAACATCCCTAGAACGGGGATCAGTTGCTTCTGGTGATTCCTGTCTTTCTGCTCTAAGAACTGTAGTAGGACGTTCTTGAGATAAACGTAGTCAATCGAATTGGCACCAATGAGGCTCGGCGTCTGGTTGCGTGAGATTGAACCGTTTCTACTACTGTTGGTTCCTGGAGGCGGAGAGGTAACGCCACGCTGCCTGGCAGATTCAAGAGAGGAGCGTGGCGACCTGTTACCCGAGTCAAGTCCGCGCTTGTTTGGCAACTGTGAAGCCTTTAGGTCGCTAGCCAAAGATTTGTTTGTTCGCTTGAGTTTCTCGAGGCGCTGGTTGGTTTCCTCGATGGATCGCCGAAGGGCTGTCTTTTCCTTTTCTAGGTCCTTGACTTGTCGCTCGCTCTCATCAAGCGCATCTCGTAGATGTGACATGGCTTCCTTAACCTCGACAAGCTCCTGGCTCGAGCGCTCAAGCTGGGATTCCAACTCACCTCGCCGTCGTTTCCATTCCCTTTGTGCATGCTCTACCTCGTCTTTGTCTTCCTCGACTCTTCTCAGCGCTTTCTCGGCATCCCGTGCTTTTGTCTTTAGCTCCTCTATTTCTCTAGCTCTTCTTCGGTTGGCCGAGTTCGCTTCATCCTCCGCTCGGTCCCGTTCTTCGATTACTCCTTCAAGTCTCTCTTTGTACTCTCGAACTTTGATGTCTGCTTTGATCTCGATGTCAGATAACAGCCGTCTCATCGTTTCCCCTTCACGTGAGCGTTCGGATAAAAGGCGATGCGCATCGGCAACCTCTTCTTCTAGGCTCTCGCATCTTTCGGTTGTCTCTTTTACCTGCATCGCCATTTCTGATGCCTGATCCCGCATGCTGCTCATCAAGCTCTGAGCACTGGAATACTGGGCAGTCTTGAGCTTGATGTCGTCCCGTAACCGTTCAATGTCCCTGGTGAGCTGAGATACCTGCCCTTCAACCTCACGGAGCTTTGATTGCGATGCTTGAAGCTCATCCTCGGTTTTTGAAAGTTCTCGTAGAGTTTTCTCGTTTGCCTCAATTGCTTCTTGCTTTTTCCCCTCGGAATAGCGCAGATCGGCTTGCCCTACCTCTAGAGCTTGCTCTGCCTTTAGTCTACCGTTAGTCTCCTGGCTGATCTTCTGACGAAGTGTTTTCACTTCTGAATCCTTCTCTTCAATCGAGGATTGCAGTTTCTTCCATTCCAATCGTAGATCCTCATGCTTCTGCTCCAGATCTGATACCTGTGACGTCTTTACTTTTAGTTCCTCTTTCACTGTCTTGAGCTCTGCCGACTCTGCTCGTAGAGAGCGTAGTTCAGGTTGTATCTTTTGCAAGGACTCTCTGAGATCGGTAAGATCCTTAAACCTAGTTGCCGCGAGCTGTTGGGCAGCGTTCAGGTCCGTCTCCAGGGTCAGTGCTTTCGATTTCAGGTCCTCGAATTCCACCGATAAGTCCTTATGAGCTTTCTCAGCTTCGGAAGACTGCGTAGAGCTTAAGCGGAGGGCGGTTAATTCTTTCTCAGAATCGGTAACGCGCTGCTCAAGGGCAGATTTATCGGCGAGCAGTTCCTTAACCTTATCCTTAGCCTCAACATGGTCCTGCCCAAGGCTTACTACTTCATCCTGCAGAGTTTCGATCTCCTCTCGCAGGTTCTCCTCTCCTCTAAGCTTTGAGTAGAGGCGATCAATTGCAGCATCCTTCTCCGCAATATCTACCTCGAGCTTTTGAACTTTGAGTTCCAGGTCTCCAATCACATCAGAGCTTGGTGGTAGAGTGTTGCTGTTTGATGCTTCTGCAGCTTCCTCCGGCTCCTGCCTGGTCACTTTTTTCTTCTTCTTATTCTTCTTCTTTGATCCTGCCGTTGCAGTAGTAGCAGGCGGGGCGCTGGCGTCAATTGTGGGTTTCGTAGAATCCATAGCTACGATGCTCTCTTTCACCTCTGTGAAATTAGCAGGTTCCCCTTGGGAAATTCGACACCTGACAGATTTCCATGTGGTATTGTCCTCGAGGCCGCTGTCTATAAAGTCAACAACAGCACTGAGCGACCTTGTTTCCTCCTCCTTAGCAGATAGCTCCGCTTTTAATGATGACACGGTATCTTCGGCATCTTTTAGTTGCATCTTCAAATTCGTTACAACCCCTTGTAGTATTTCCAATCGCTTGCCATTTTCATCCGCTTTATTCTGCTCTTGAGTGCGCCTGTCCGCTTTTATCTGGTTGATTTCTCCTTCTTTCTCTTTTATCTGGGACCTTAGGCCATCCATTTCAGCGCTAGACTTGTCAAGTTCCGAGGAAGCTGTCTCCAGTTTTGACTTGAGAGATTTAACTTGATCCTTGAGGGATGATTCCTGGCTGGCAAACTGAGCTTCTTGACGTTCCTTGTTCTCGCGCAGTCCACTCAGCTCGCGTGTAGCAGACTCCAAGCTGTGAACCATACCCTCGGTTGATTCACGAGCCACTGCGAGATCATTCATCAGAGTCTCTATTTGAGACTTTAGACCAGTGATCTCATTATCCCGTGCCTTAAGTTCTGACTCTAGCCGTGGGATCTCGTTGTCAAAAGAAAAGAATTCTTCAGCCTCCTCGGCTGGTGGCGGCGAGGTAATTGGTTTTGTCTTTGGAGAAAATATGGAAAGGCCAGGTATAGAAGTTGCTATGGATGTCATTGAAGGCGTTGGTGACTTTTGAGTATTTTCTGAAGTCTCGTCCTTGGGTAAAGTAATAGGTGGGGGATTCAGCGCAGCCTTTCCTTGTCGCTGTTCATTATCCTTCGTCTGCGAGTCTCCGGTCGCATTCTTTCCGTCTTTTAACTTGGAAACTTCATCCCATGCCTCCTTCGCTGACTTCTCGGCGGATTCCAGCTTGGTCTTAAAGTCATCACGCTCTGACGATACTCGCTTTAATTCTTCTACTACCATGTCACCCTTTAACGAAATTTGATTGAGGTATTCAGTCAAAGAGCGAGGATCAGTAATGGAGGTAAGGGGTGTGTTTTCACGAAGAGCCGTTTCAAACGGTTCGATTGTAAGGACTCGTGCATGCGCCGTTCGATAAGCCTTGAGCAATTCTTCGTATGACAGTTAGATCAAAGGAGCGATAAATCGGAGGTAGAACAGCTACACAAACCTTGGTACCTGGATTCCAACTTATCCAGTCTTCGCAGCCTGACTCGAACATCAGTTGGCAATTCATGCGAGGGTCCATCTTTTGATGTAGCCGTAGCTGTCTCCTTTGCATCTGACTTGGTCTGTCCAGGGCCAGATGCAGGTTGATCTGACCCTTGACCAGACGATGCTGCCTCCGTCACCGGCTCATCGTCTCCAACAACGGTCTCTCCATCAAACTCTGATGGGTCTGGCCCTCGAGATGGAACCCCAGCGCTATCTTGTTTTACCCGGCCGGTACGTTGGGACGGGGACGAGTTGTTAGATTTCCGGGCTCCTGAATTCGAGCGTGAAAGGGCTTCCTGGCTCGCTCGTTGCCGGGCTTGTTCTTCGGCTATCCTGGCATCAATGGCTCCGCGGATACGCTATAATTGAAATGTCAATGTTAAGTCCAGTCACCAAGTCGCAGTAGCATTGGCTCACCTGGAACATCGCGATCGATTGCCTCAAAAAGTGGCCTTCTTCAGATTATCCAACTGGCAGTAGTGTACGGAGCACCCTGAAAGGAAGAAACCACCTGCGTAACTGCTATAGAGCTGTATAGATTGTAGTAGCTGTTTGGGTCCGTTTGAGCATCGGTAGTCCCTGATGGTTATATAGGCGAAACACTGTTCCCTGATCCTATGCAAATGAAAGCCCTGGAGCTCTAGTATGCTCTGTAACCTGGTAGCCCAACGGTTTATATACTAAGAAGACTTGGTTGTGGTATATATCTTCCATTAACTTGCTTCCTTTTGACAAACCAAGTTAATGGCCGTGCTTAGTCAGCATGCTCAACTGGCGGTGTTTTCGCTTTTGGTGACTTCAGCTTAGCAACATCGAACTTCGTAGAGCAAGGAGATGCTGGAAGAGATGAAGTAGTGCTGGTTGAGTGCATGAAATGCTGATATGAAGAAGCACTCCTTATACTGAATTACCATGGTGTCCTTCTGGCCATGGAGAGTAAGCTTGTCCCTTGATACATTCGCCCCCTGATGTGCAGCAACGAGCTAACGGAATGTTAATAGGGGGCGGATAACTCTCCAGCGTCCTTTGAGAAGACACTCGCGGGTCTGTCTGAAAAGATCGCACAGTCGAACGGTAGCTTGGAACTCTACAGACAACGTGCTCGTCGATTTAAGGCCCTTTGGTCACTATATACCACCTTTGCATACATATTGTATGCACTCATTGCGGTACTGGTGCTTGGTTGGGAGCAGTGGGGTCCGGTAGAGTACACAGCTCTATCAGGTAGCCCAGTAGTGTATGTTACTTTATCACCTTTCTTTCTCCTAGTGTACATGCCTGATATATTATTTTTTGTAGAATATATACAGTCCGGAGGATAGGCGCAGCCTTCTACCAGTATCGTATCACCAAAACCCAGAAATACCTTGAAGAACTGCAGAAGCAACGTGATGGAACTATTGAAAAGCTGAAAGAGGCCACAAAATATAATTCCACATTGCAGCTACTCGAAAAATATGGTGCACAGCCTCCCAAATCTCTACCCGCCCAGGAGGACGTTGATGACATGGAAGGGGGGAATCGACATGGAGGCACGAAACGCAAAGTCCCCCGTTCTCGAGCTTCCCTCCCGTTCCCCGGAGCAACAACTAGAATGACCCCGCCGCCCACAGCTAATATCCCACGAGCACCATTCGGGGGTTCTCTACCTTCCAGTCCAATGAACCAGGGCCAAAACCGGCAACCAGCTGGTATTTCATCAAGCCCACCAAGCCCTTCTGGATTACATGTTGCCCAGAGTCAACAGCGGCAACCACATGATGAGCCTGGTTTTCACCCCAGTGCCTTTCCAATTACCCAGCATATTGAACCCCGCCAGCCCCAGTGGTATGACCGGATACTTGACGTTCTCCTTGGTGAGGACGAAACGCTCCCTAAGAACCGGCTGGCGCTAATATGTGTTCACTGTCGCCTGGTCAACGGACAGGCTGCACCTGGTATACACACCCTGGAAGAGGTCGGGCGATGGCGCTGTGTTGGGTGTGGGGGTTGGAACGGCGAGGAGAATAAGGCAACTACGCACGATGAAGGGCTGCTGAAAACCCACAGCCGTAGCCGGAGTAGAAGCGTGCCTCGCGCACCACCACAACCGGTGGTGGTGGTAGAGCCCTCAACCCCGACAGACGTGGATGGCGCAGGGCAGAATACTATGGTTCGTAAAGGTAGTATCGGCAGTGAGGCACACGAGGAGGGAAAATTGTCGGCAGATGAGGACGTGGAATGGAGCAGTGACGCAGAGCTCGAAGCATCACAAAAAGATTCATCAGATATTAAAGACGAGCAATCTAGCTGATTTATGATGTGCTCTCCGGAAAAAAAAAAAAAAAATAAATAAAAAAATAAAAACATTATTACTGGCATGGAGGTCGGAGTTTTGCTGGAATATCTTTTTGAACTACTGTATATACTAACCAATTACCCTTGCCGTCGAATAGTTTCTGCTGAAACCCCATAACTACTGTTGCGCTATACGCACTAAAGAGATGATAGAGAGTCAATGGCGTAGTGTTTTCTTAATGCTAAGGTGCACACATGGTAATAAGTTTGAAGCTAATAGGGGGTATCTTGACAGGTGCATGAAGGTATTAAAAAAAAAAAAAAGACCACCGTCTTGACTATATAGAAAGGACAGAAATTAGAGACCTTTCAGGTATGAAGATATCTCTAGACCTCCGGTGTCTCTGCCGTCTTCATAATTTTAGATGCTCGCTCGTCTTGGTGCCATGGTTCTTCGCATATTTTTCTTCTCTTCGGTCTCCTCTGGCATCGGCAGTGCCCCTTCTTTCCTAAGTTTTTCTAGGAATTCTTTTCCATACTGGTAACCGACTTGGTAGATTTCGTCAAACTTGCCAAACTCCAGTGTCCCGTACCCGTCAATTGGCGGACGCATATACAGACATCCAGGGGTATTTTTTGCACGTTCAAGTGCGTCTACTGACGACACGTAGGCAAGTCGTGCTTGGATCTCAGATAACGTGGGTGGATTAGGAACGCTCGTGAATGGATTCCACCGGTTGAGTAGCGTCCAAAATCCAGAGAGCGAATCACCGTATGCTTGTGGTGTGTTGTCATCGATAGCTCCCACATCAACGGCAAATATAACGTCTGCACCTAGTGATTTCATACGTGCAACAGTCAAATTGTCAACGTATCCGCCATCAAGAAGCAGGCTACCTTCATCACAGAGTGGTGGAAGAAGGCCTGCCAGCGACATGGATGCACGTACGTATCGCCATACATAGCCTGATGAATGATAATCTAGTCGAGACTGGCTGATATTTGTTGTGTTGCAGTAGAACTCAAGCCACGAATCTTCAATTTGGCTATCGGTAAAGGCCTTGAAAAGCCCACGGTTGAATTCATGGCCCGTTGTATACGAGACAGATGGGTATGTAAGATCGAGAGCAAACCGCCAGATGCTGCCCATCTTGGCTGCAAATTTCTTTGCTCGGCCATACATTGGCACCACATCTGCATCGCGCGCGTAAAGGGCACCAATAAATGCACCAATTGATGTGCCACCTACAATATCAATGGGAATACCGGCTTCCTCGAGAGCTGTAATTACACCTATATGGGCAATTCCGCGAGCTCCACCGCCTCCAAGGACTAGACCAACCGATTTGCCGCACAGTCTACGCGCTAGGCGATGGAAGTCACCCTTAAATGGCGTCGTTGCAGAATATAAGGGCTCCTGGCGGATTCTTCGCGACGTGTACTTTTGTATTTCAGCTTGGATGACCTGCACACGCTGCTTGAGCACTGTGCCAAATTTTTTAATTTGTGGTAAGGCAGGTTCCGGGGTCGCCCGGTATGTCATTTGAATATGATGGTGGCCACCGTTAATCCACATGCGATTCTTGAGCCACTGTCTTGTGAGGCCCGGTGGTGAATATCGTTCTGCATGTAGTAGGACCAATTCTTTTCTAGCTGTCGTCTTCATTCCCAGGAGAAAGCGTTCATATTCGCCGATACTGGGTGAGCCTCCTGCAACGCCTACTAAGAGGATACAGTCAGCCTGGCTGATACAGGTCTGCGTCCAAGGTGCATTGACGCTGGTATCAGCAACATATATAAGCATGCCATAGCGTTCCTCGAGATCAGCAAGGTACTGCGAAAGTTTTAGCTTGCCCATACGGTTAAATGCGTGGCGCCCTAGGTGGTTAAAAATATCCGCTTGGTGTAGTGAGGCGACGCCGTCTGGGACCCCTATCTGATTAAATGCACTGAGCAGACGGCTTCCAAATTCGACTACGGGTATTCCAGATGTGACAGGGAGGATGGCAACAGTCCTTAGATTTAGCGTTGATGTAAGGCTGTTTACATCATCATGCGCCATTTCACCCCCTATTTCGAGTAGTTTGGTGTTGACAAGATGCTTCATGCGCTGGGCAATCAATTTCGATATTTGTATCGTTATTCCCGGATGTTCTTGTGCAAGGCTATTGAAAAGCGAGCGGGGAAATTTGGCTAATTCTGTATCGCGAATGGCATGTAGGGTAGCAGGTCGAGTAGTTTCTGTCATCACTTCGAGCTCGCCTACGCTTTCGCCTTGTCCATGCTCGCCAACAGCGCTTACTTTGCCGTCACCAGACTCTAGGACTGATCGCAGACGCCCGTTTAAAACAATGTATATTGAGTCGCTCTCATCGCCCTGGTGGTATATTACCTGGCCTGCGCTTACCTGTACCCATTCTAATGCGAAGTCAATGTGAAGGAGTAGGCGAGGTAAAACGTTGGTTAACCGCTTTGCCATTGAGAGAAGGACGAGAGGGTACCGATCTGCAATTCTTTCCAGGCATATCCGAGGTAAAAAGCCGACATACACGTCCGTCTTCGCTGTTACATCTGTAAAAGATCGATACGAAGTTATTGAGCCAATGTATCCTTCTAAATCACCCGGCTTGACCATATACAAGGACCGACGGGAGGTCTTCTTCCGCTGTGTTTGTGTAGACAGGTTGCCTTGTGAGGCGCCCGACGGTCGTCTAAGCGGCAATAATGGTTCGTTGGAATGGATACCACCCTTGGATGAACCGATTAAGTCCTCGCCTTTATCATTCACCGGGATACCGACATCTAAGAACCCGTCAATAACATAGTATAGGCCTGGGTTCCGCTCTCCTTGCTCTACTAAAACCGATCCCTTGGGAAAGTAGACTATCTCAATCTCGTCACTCAATTCGGCTTTCAGGTTGGCAATTGGTGGCGTCCCACCTGCGCTTGTAACGGAGATACTCATCTGGGATTCGGAGTCACCGTCCCCAAACGCCTCATAAGGGTCTATATAGCCAAATGCATTGTTAAATACAGCTTTTTGTTTCCGTGAGTCGTATGAGACTAGATGCGGGGACGCATCAGCGGAGCCAAAGCCTTTAGGAAGTGGAAGGGCTTCTCGGGTGGTAGCTGTTAGCCCCAAGGCTTTTACCATGCAGTCGAGTATCGATTCACGGAAGATGCTATCTTCATTGACATGAGAAATGGCTGGAGAGTTAAATAGAGGTTTTCCTGGGGAGCTGGAATCAGGAGAAGCATGCATCGGAGACCTCAGCCCTGGGTTAGAGACATGGAATGTGCTTCGTGCGGCGAGCCGGCGCTCGTTGCCAAATCGTGGGCCAAACCGGGATAGCTGTATGGTGGAAAGCAGATCTCCCGGACTGACACCGGCTGCCTCCCTATCCAGCGCAGGAGGGCTAGGCGAAGCATTCTGATCTTGTGTAGCGGAAGCTTTGGCATTTAGTGATGCATCCTTCCGCAAAAAACTACTAGATCTCCGCCTGTTACGGACGCCCGGGTTATGCAGGGCAATTCCCTTTGTCCCTTCCTCAGGGCCAAGCCGCTGTACAGCTCTCTGGAACTTCTGCTTGAGCCTATCTAATGGGGCACCACGCAGGTCATTAGGTAAATCAAACGAAGTAAACTTGTTCATCTTTTTCTCTATACTCAAGACGTCGGTTGTGAGGCCGAGATATGAATGCGCTGTAGCAAAAGTCACACGCTGCAGTCTGGTCAGGATGACTTGTATGATATGAGCCGTTGCGCGGGGATACAGTCGAGTAAGACGGCGGAATGCACTGGCGGGGATGATAGCAATGGTAGTGTCTACCACAGCGCGAGCGACAATATCCGGATGGATAGAGTTGGTTCTTAGTCGCTTTGGAACACGTCGATCCTGCGCGGAGGAGGTAGGCGGGGTATGAGCAGTAGAGAAATGAGGGGATGGCGTGGCGTCATCCAGTGCCAGGGGCGGGACAGTAGGGAGGCGTCCGCCATTGGATTGGAGGGATATATCGCGGTGGTGGTGACGGTCGTTGTAAGAAGAGCGAGGACTGTTGGTGAAGGGCGTTGGGCTCACAGGACTGGATGAGCTGGGCTCTACTCCTTCCTGGTAGCGAAGTTTCACATCTTCGCTAAATAGGGACAATATGGAAAAGAGGGAGGACATGGAGGCGCCGTTCTTCACTTCGGTAAGCAACCGATATCCCTGGTGGTTCCGATGACGTTGATCGTCCTCCTCCCCCATTGACTCTTCCACAGAGCTATCTCCATCTTTATCACGCTCCCTGGCTGACTTGACGAATATTTGCACAAGACCGTCAACCACGAGGCAGAACCCTTTCTCCTCTTCCAGCAAAAGGGTCTCGCCTGCAATGAGCTTCCGTGTCTGCATTGTGCGGGTCAGTTCGTGGAAGACCGGCCGTTCCAGGTAGCCAAAGACCTTGATAGCGCTTAGGAATTCATCCAGGTAATTGGCAAGCCCCGGTTTTGAATCTCCCTCCTGGGTATCCGGAAAGAGGTCGATCTGGGCTTCTTGCCGCTTGGGCTCGGGAGGAAGGTGAGCGTACATGTTCAGGAAGCGGTAGCGGATAAACCAGCTGATGGTCGACACCAAGAACAGGGTTATTACTAGTCTAGTCAAATATTAGCTATCGTGTCATTCTATAACGGGAGAAAGGCCGTACATACAGGGTGGTGAAATTCATCGTAAAGGTCAAGCTCATGGAGAAGAGCGTAAACAGGGCGGTCGGGACGGTGATGGTGGTGAAGGTGATGACCGAGTAGAGCAGGCCGGGCAGGACCTGGACGAAGAAGAGGAACACTGTGCCTGCAAAGTCGGCCATCGTGTATTGAAAGCGAGCGGGATGTTGCGGACAGGAGGGGGAGCATGAGGACGTGAATTGCTCGAGCTCGAGCTTGCGGGGCGAGGCCGCGGTAGCCATGGCAAAGTCCGGTATCTACTATGTAAGCCCGTAGACGGGAAAAAGGCGCGATTGGCGCGGCACTCTCTGTCGCTCTCGCAGACTCTCCCCCTTCACTTAGTTATATTGTGTCTTCTCCTGTCTGCACGACAGCTGCAAGAACGTGGGTGGATCGCCTAAGTCAAGCTATTAGTAAGAAGAGACAATAACTAACGGTTAACTACCTGCGGACGAGAGGGTGCCAACCTTGTACCTACATAGCATCCTTGCCTCCAAACACCCTTGGAGCCGCCATCGACAACCAAACCATCCAGGAGAACAGCCGCAAGCACTGCTGGACCGTCGTGGTGAGCGGCGCGAGACGTTTGAAACCATCACAAGGAAGAACGAAAGAAGAAAAAAGAAGTCAACGAGGATCAGATAAGGTTGGATTCCCGGTTATGCTTATATAAGCTCAGCGCCTACGTCATCGAACGGAAGACATCAAGCGACCATGTACACACTATGTAGTATCTACATAGTACCCGGCAGGTGTGTACGGAGTGTACGGAGTATATGCACTGTGGTTCAACATCGATTGGCGTGCATGGAAACAAGGCGATAACTCCATATGCAAGGGCTTGTGTGATGAGGGAACCAGTAGGATTGGGCAGCCGGGCAGTTGGGCAACTGGGCGTCTATCCCCCTGCTGTCTCATCGCAGGCGGTTTAAAAAAAAAAGGCTGCCTGCCTACGATGAGAAAACTCTGCCTTTGTGTTTGGTTGTCCTTGGGCTCGACCTTGGTTTTTGGCGCCTGTTTACTCGAGCGATAGCTAACCCACCACCATGGATTCGGTGCCTAATCGGAAGCCATCGCCTACCACGCCTGGCTCCAGCTCATACTTGATTATTGGTGCTGGCTGCTTTGGAGCATCGGCCGCACTGCAACTTGCCCGCTCTGATCCTGCATCAGCTTCTCATATCACTCTAATCGACCGCACTCCTTACCCTTGCCCGTCGGCAGCCGCCCATGATCTAAACAAGATCATTCGCGCAGAATATACGGATCCATTCTATATGCGCCTTGCACTCGAGGCCATGGATGTGTGGAAGTCTGATCCTGTCTTTAGCCCGTATTTTCACCAGGTGGGCATGCTGTTCCCCACAACACATGAACAGGTGAATAGGATTGTGGGAAATTATACCAGTATAGCTTCTGAAAGAGGCAGTCCAATGACTTCTACTCCAGTTGAAATTATTGAGCCTGAGACGGCCAAAGGTCGGTTTGGTGGTATTTTCCGCGATGCATGCTGGGACGGAGTGGAGACGTGTTTGTTCAATGCAGAGGCTGGATGGGGGGATGCAGAGAGTGCGTTGCAAAATGTGATCAAGTCCGCCGTCTTGTTGGGTGTTACATATGTCCCGCTTGCTGTTGAGAGACTACTATTTGATGAGACTGGAGGCTGTATCGGCGCAAGAACTGTTACAGATCTGGATTTGCATGCACAGCATGTTATCCTCTGTACCGGAGCGAGCACTGCCAGCTTACTGGCCAATAGTGCTCCAGACAGATCAAACTTGCAAATTGGCGACAGAATTGTTGCTGCTGCAGCAATTATGGGTGCCTACCGCGTTCCAACAGATCAGATGCGCAAGTTTGAATCTGCTCCAATTGTTGTGAATCCTGTTGGAGATACCCCTGGTTTGTCCTGTCCAAAATTCCATGGCGATGATACATCATTTATCTGATTTTTAATCCATCATAGGAGAGAGCATCCCCCCTAGTAGTGCTGGGCTACTCAAATGCACCCACGAACTAAGTTTTACCAACATGGTTCATCATGACCGTCTACATCGGCAAATTTCTACTCCGCCAGAGGATCCGCTCTACAGCACCTGGACTCATGATGTTCCATCGCAGCTGAAAAACGAGGTCCAAAGTGTCAAAAATATGCTTTATGGGCAACATGTGGGCAACCTAATTCCAGAATTCTATAGGATGTGTTGGTAGGTCCGTCTCTTTCTCCGCACGACGAGTGAAAATCTAACCGTCAGCAGGGATGCTGTGACGCCAAATCAAGATTTTATTATCTGTGCCCATCCACATTCTGAGCGTCTTTATATTGTAAGTGGAGGTTCGTTCCATGGATGGAAATTTATGGCCAATATTGGACGTTACGTCGAGAAAATGGTCAAGGGAGAACTGGACCCGGAATCTTCTCAGCGATGGGCATGGGACAGGAGTAACGAGGGGGGAGCATGCGCCGTCTATCTCCCTTCAAGAGACTTACAGGACATCTCATAGGCCTTGCCTTAAATGATAGAAACCGTTCTTGGTTCTAGATTCTCGTCAAGGTCATCAGTAATTGGATTTCAGCGGCGTAAAGTTTAAAGGCTCAAAAATGCTCGGAAAATGAGTCAAATTTACATCTGGCCTCGATATGAAGATTGGTGCCTTGTTCCTGAACTTTCTAGAGATGGGGTAGTTCTCATTATGCATGAATATACTATATATACATCACCTCATAGGTAAGCACAAGCCACTATTCTTATGTTTTTGCTTTGCCTTGTTTGAAAAAAAAATTTCCTCCTTGTCAGGCGCTTCCTCCGTAAATATTACGTACATATATCCATGTCGGCCCGTGTCCGGTAGTACGATCTGACTACTAGGTAGACGGCGGATGACATGCATATTGGATTTCCCAGAGATAGGACGATTATTATGTGCACCTTTCACCGCCTGAAAGTCACGAACTTCAGTAACTGCTTGTGGGACGCCTGGTGCTCCAGGGGCTGAGTCTCTCCGTCAAAGCCTACCTTCGCTAAATCACACTGGCTCTTCAAAATACGGACGTCAGCATAAGAGGGCAACTGATGAGTGATATAAGTTGCTATGCGATGTAGGCTACCTCTCGCCTCGCAGCATTGGCCTCTGTCAAACGCCTGAAGCCTTAGTATATCCCCCAATCGTGGCTCAAGGCAGCAAAGGCTCCGACAATGAGCTCCGTTCAGCCACAGCATCACCTTTTTCTGCGCAAAAATATTTGGGCAATTTACTAAATCCTTAGGGACAGACGAGAAAATAACACTCAATCGTTTTTTTCACCTCCTCCGTCTTACTCCCCTAATCCTGCCAAAGGCTTCCACCATGGCCATCTGGGGTTTTATGCCTCGTGGTAAGGCCACTAGCTTGCGCCATGACTCCATCGCTCGATAAACAGCCGCCTCAATATAGAGCAGCAGGATATAAAAGGAGGTGTAGGGCTACTTCTTTTTGTCGATGTAATATGATCATTGTACTCCTCACCATTTGCATTAAATCCATTCATATCCAGCCAATATCTACAGATATAACTTTGGTAGAGCCTTAAAGAGACTCAAGTCATAACCCACGCAGTTATTTGAAAGGGGACCAGACTGTGATCGAAAATATGCCTTCGTTTTTCCCTCTTCAGGTTAGAAATATTACTGTTTGTTTAGCCCCTCTCAATTATCCAGTCTAATTAGATATGTACGTTTTAGGACACCCGCACGATGATGTGTCTGCCAGGAACCGTCATCGACATTGGAGGCGGCCGATTAGAACTCTCGCTCAAGGAGTTAACGGAATACCAATTCCTAGGTTTCAATGGTGGTAATCCCCGCGACTTGCCAACCGGACTTTTCTATAATACCAAGGGATTGAAGATTTGGGGGGACATCACCCGTTTACCCGAATATCGACAAACTCAGGACGAAATAGACCTTTTGAATTTGTTCAAAAGCCAGATAGCAGATTGGGTAGTAGATGGATGCACCATCATCGACATGGGTAGTGGGTATGTTGTCATAGATGACGCTCCAGTGAATAGCGCTGATTTTTCATTGTCGCAGGGATACTCGGAAGGTGTTGCCTCTCCTAGCCTATCTTGAGCGCCTTCGGGTAGAAGTTCAATACTTCGCCCTTGACCTTTCCAAGCAGGCACTGGAACGAACAATGGAGCGGCTCATCCCCGAGTTTCAATATGTACAATGCTTCGGCCTGTGGGGTGCATTTAGCGATGGCCTAAACTGGCTAAGGGCTATCAAGTCCCCCAAGCTCATCCTTTCTCTAGGGTCAATGTTCGGAAATGATGAGTTCTCCCTTGCAGTCTCAAGGCTAGAGGAGTGGAAACAGGTTATGGGCCCCAATGACCTGATGCTCCTGGGTCTGGATGCCTGCGGATACCTGCCGGAGCTTTGGAATTCGTACCACGACCAGAAGAGGGTATGGGAAAGCTTCATACGAAACGGGCTAGAGTATTCAAACGAGGTTTTGGGGATCAACTGGTATAGGGGAGAGGACTGGGAGGTCACTGGTCGTATTGACAGCTCACCAGACATTGTCCACCGGTTTTCTATCATTGCTAGGAGAGACGTCCACTGCCCCTCTCTTGACCTGTACTTTTCAGCCGGCGAGCGTGTCGACTTCTTCGAGGCATGGAAATACGGGCCAGAGAGAATGGAAAGTCA